GAACTTTTGTCATATATATATATATATATATATATATATATGCTTTAAGCAATATTTTTGTCACAATTTTTACAGAAATAAAAGTAGCGTTGATGTGTTTGGGTTTTAATTTTTTTTTTTTTTTTTTTTAGAAATTAGGGGTTTAGTGCTATTTTATATGTTGTATGGTTAACTACACTTAAAATCTTTAAAATACCTTGGGATATCAAGGGGTAGCTGTACCTATTCCTAATTTCATAAACTAGTTTAAACCAGCAGTAACTACTGTACTTGTCATTAATAGTCAATCCTGACAATTGACAGTCACATTATTAGCTTGCCACCTTGACGTAAGAGGTAGTTTTTATAAGAAGACTAACAACTTCTTTAAATAACTGATTGTTTAGATGACTGCCAAACTGTCTGTCAATCTTTTACTTCTTTTTACTTAGTGATTCACCTCATCTACTTTTTGAGATCCTTTGTGGATTGATCAGTTAATTTGAAATAACTGTTGATGGTGTAGATTACATTAAAAGGAATTGTTTTAGCGAATTTCCCTATAGGGAAGTAGCTATTACCGTAGGTCTCATGGTAAGACCTAAGCCCGGGACCGATTTACTTTTTCATTTTGATGTCCCCAGAGGCCAAAAACACCATTTGTTCAAATTTTTATATATCTATATATATATATATATATATATATATATATGTGTCCATCCGCACGATAACTTGAGTAATTTTTGTCCGATTTTGATAAAATTTGGTTTGAAGGTGTAAGGCGGGATAAACTTGAATGAGTTCGCGAACCAGCATGATCGGACTATGGGAACGGGGGTTTATGGGGGGTTTTATGGGGTAAAAATAGGTTTTTCCCATTTTTGCCCCGGGTCAATCCATATCAAGTCATCCAGGGCATGACACCCATGTTCTCAGATTCTAATGATTTTTTTGTCATGTGTTCCTTTTGCTATTCTAATTATGAATACCAAATTTCATTTTGATATCTTGAATACTTTTTTAGTTATGAAATTTCAAAAATTGCTAAAAATAAGCGTTTTCCCGTTTCCGCCGATTATTGGGAGTACGACATTGTTTTGGTAAAAAAATCATTACTCAGTCAGTATTTATCATATCACAATGGGACTTTCACTAAAATGTTCAGAAAATCTTGTAGAATTAAGGAAAAATATGTTTATGGGGGTGGTCATTTTATGTTCCAGTCAGTAATCCATCCAACTTTAATTTTGGTCTAATCTTTAGCAAAAAACACGAAATTTTGAAAAATTTGTGAAAATTATAGGCACTATGTAAACCAAAGGTGTTTTATCATATTTATGTTCCTAAGGATATATACTAACAGGTTCTTAAAGAAAAACACTGGGATTTTCACTGCCTTTTAGTTTGTACCTCAATAAACAGAAAATTATAATTTTCATAAAAAAGGCAGAGTGCGGACAGTTAAACCTGTACTAAGAATCAATAGCTACTTCAGAAAGTGTTATTAAAAAAATTATCAAGACACATTTATAATAAAGTAGAATTATAATTTTGAAAGGCAATAAAACTGAAGTTTAAAAGCACTGACCCAAATTGGTAGGCCTACAATGTCAAGCTTAGTACAAAAAAGACGCTTGAAAAAATATGTACAGTATTAAGAAAATATGAAAACTTCTTACCACTAATCCTTAATGAATACAATTTTTGGAGATACTCAATTTGCTTTTTACATTAAGCACTTAATTTTGTACTTGGTTTTTTGTTTTTTGTCAACATGTTTTGGCAATGTTTTTCAATTAAATCCATTTCTTTTTTCGGGAAATAATACATTTAGTCAGGTTGGGTAGCAGGAAAATATTTCAGTTCTGGCAGAGAGGCTGCAATTTTAGGTTGTTATAGTATACAAGTTTCTGAATCTAAAACCGCCCAGACCTTATTATTATTTTAAATATGAAGGTGGTGTTGTGACCCATCATTTTAAACTACTTTTTTATGCTGAATTCAATGCCGCAATCCGTTTTTCATTGTCATATTTGGTTTTTAAAATATTGACATTTTAAATCAAAATAATTTTAATATTTTATCAAGAAAGCTTGATAACAAAAAACTTATATGACCTTAGTTTGTAAATGTGCAATGTTATAATGGACTAAAAATTAATTTATAAAAAGTTCTCATTAATTGCAGCATCGTATTCAGCGTAAAAGTCTTGTTTGAAACGGTGGGTCACAACCCTACCTTTACATTTGAAAAAATAACTTCGTATCCGCCATCGTATGGCGGATCCAAGATGGCGGCCAAAAATGTAAACCCAGTCAAAATGAAGCACTTGCTACTCTACAATGATCTGACGTGGTTCGGAGTTGATATCTTAAGAAATATACAAAAAAGTAGGGGGGGGGAATCATTTAAAACTCACCCTGTATAAAACAATTCACAATTATTTTCCTCATAATTCTTTTAGTTTTGAACAGCCACCATTTTGAAATGATTTGATGAAACTTGACCATTTTCAACCCAGGCCGAGATAATACATTCAAGCACTTGTGTGCCAAATTTCATGAAAATCTATTAAGCCATTCGGTCATTATAGCCAATTCATGGGGACCCAGCATCCTCTTACGGCCGCCATTTTAAAGACGTCATTACGGACGACCGAGGTCCTTAAAAATTGGGGTCTGGACAGTTTTAGGTTCAGAAACTTGTATACTATAACCACCTAAAATTGCAGCCTCTCTGCCAGAACTGAAATATTTTCCTGCTACCCAACCTGACTAAATGTATTATTTCCCGAAAAAAGAAATGGATTTAATTAAAAAAAAGTGCCAAAACATGTTGACAAAAAACCAAGTACCAAATTAAGTGCTTAATGTAAAAAGCAGATTGAGTATCTCCAAAAATTGTATTCATTAAGGATTAGTAGTAAGAAGTTGTCATATTTTCTTAATACTGTACATATTTTTTCAAGCGTCTTTTTTGTACTAAGCTTGACATTGTAGGCCTACCAATTTGGGTCAGTGCTTTTAAACTTCAGTTTTATTGCCTTTCAAAATTATAATTCTACTTTATTATAAATGTGTCTTGATAATTTTTTTAATAACACTTTCTGAAGTTAGCTATTGATTCTTAGTACAGGTTTAACTGTCCGCACTCTGCCTTTTTTATGAAAATTATAATTTTCTGTTTATTGAGGTACAAACTAAAAGGCAGTGAAAATCCCAGTGTTTTTCTTTAAGAACCTGTTAGTATATATCCTTAGGAACATAAATATGATAAAACACCTTTGGTTTACATAGTGCCTATAATTTTCACAAATTTTTCAAAATTTCGTGTTTTTTGCTAAAGATTAGACCAAAATTAAAGTTGGATGGATTACTGACTGGAACATAAAATGACCACCCCCATAAACATATTTTTCCTTAATTCTACAAGATTTTCTGAACATTTTAGTGAAAGTCCAATTGTGATATGATAAATACTGACTGAGTAATGATTTTTTTACCAAAACAATGTCGTACTCCCAATAATCGGCGGAAACGGGAAAACGCTTATTTTTAGCAATTTTTGAAAATTCATAACTAAAAAAGTATTTAAGATATCAAAATGAAATTTGGTATTCATAATTAGAATAGCAAAAGGAACACATGACAAAAAAATCATTAGAATCCGAGAACATGGGTGTCATTTTCTTTTTTTGCTGGATGATTTGAAATGGATTGACCCCCTAAAAACACAAAATTTCACAATTTCTTTTTAAACCATTTTGTAGAGCTTAAAAAAACAAATAATTTAGTATATTGAAGCGTTATTATGCGCCTAATTGTTACGGAGAAAATTCAAAAAAATTGTAATTTTAAAATTCCCATGTTATTCTTATGGAGAATAAGTCGACTGTTGCAGTTTGCTTGTTTATGAACATATTTTGATCGATTTTGGAAAATACTTTTATTTCTTACTAAACTATTATCATTTTATAAAAAAATCTTTTTTACCCTCCCTGTTGCAGCAAACCTAAGGTACTTGTTAAACTAATTCTATTTAAATAGGAAATAAATGTGCTATTTTTATGGAGGCATTTTAGTGTAAATCCAATCAGGTCAATGGAAATTCGCTTAGTCTGCAGGTTTGCTGCGGCGGGGGTATTTCAAGTAAGGGTTGCTGTTGTATGATGTTTATTTGGCTATTGTATATTCTTCTTTATTGTTATTTGGGAGAATTTTGTATCTTTAACACTATAATTGTTTTTCAAAAGTTTTTTTTATTCAAATTGTTTTACAATATGATTTAAACCATTTACCTACAACCGTTTTAACTAGCTGTTTTGGTTCAGTTCTTAGAATTGAAAATATTCACCTAACATCATTGTTGTATTACTTTACAACATGAGTAACGGACCAATGAGGATCAAGGATTGAAAGAAAATAAGTAAAACTGTAATACTTCGAACTCAACTTATCAGCTGTTAAGACCAATTTAATTGATTAAACAATGAGTAAGTGGTTGTGACAATAAGTTGTTGCATCACAATTAGTGGCTATGAGAGGCTATAAACATAAACATAACCTCTCTTGGAAATAATGAGTAGTGATTTTTAGTAATTAAGAAACGTCCTACGCAACTTGCGTAATCAGTCTTGTATGATCATTGTGTAAACTACTATAAAGCACTTGTAAAGGTGTTAACTATGTTCTATTAAACCCCAATTAACATTTGTTTACTTTATAATTTAGCTACAAACTATTCTTTGTAACAGTTTCTTAGCACATACTTAATATAAAACACACTCTTCTGCCCTATCACAACCTCTCTTTATTCACTGACAGTTCTGTTGTGGAACACTGCCTTTGAACTGAGTTTTAAATTAAAATATGATGGAGTGATTTTTACAAGCTATGCAGTAGTTCCCTTATGGATATGACTAATCAATCAATATTTACTTATTGTTCAATCACACACCAGCAGCTTGCACTACAGTTAGTGATTTACAACCACCTTTTACGGATGTTCACTGTATGTTACAGATTGTGATGCTGTGGTGAGAACAGCAAGATGGACCACAGTGTGAAAGCGATGCAGAGTCATCGCAAGATGGCCTTCTCTCGGTTGCTCAACAGACATAGGTATGTAGCTGGCCAACAGTAAATATTTCAGGTTATGTTAAAAATAACTATCAGAAGTTTTAGAAAGTTCAAAGTCAACATTTTTGTCTGAGAATTTTGAACTAAAGAGATTTTTCAATTTAAAAAGGTTCTTCTGTAACACTAGAAGTAAGAGTATCAGTCTCACTCAGTTACACCATAGATAAAACATACTCCCTTAGTAGATTAGTCATCCTAATGGAACAGCTGAAGCCAATTTTATTGTTAGTTCTGTACGTCCAACTATAGAGGTTATGTTTTGTTTACAATTTGTTTCTTGTTATTGCAGTCATTTAAAACCTTGTTTAACCTAATAAAACGATATAATCATAAGCAATAACTGGTCTCCTAGTTATATAACCAAATAGTAAAGCACAAATCATGAAAATAACCCTAAAATAATAGAAACACTAGCGATCAGTGTGGACGTACATGAACTAGACACAAAAAACAAGCTTCAAAATTTACAATGGGATGAGGAGTCTACTTGTGTTGCTTAGTCTATGGTTACACATTGTGGTTTTCAGCATTTAGAACCATAACCATGTCACTTCACTACTCAGAAGATTGCTGGTTCGACGTTTTAAATTGTGTGATTTTTTATTGTTTAAAACTGTAACCAGCTGTCTTTAATCATTGGGCTTTTAACCCTTTGACGACGACTTACTTGTGTTGGCAGTCACAACATTTCGCCCAGAGATAGTCGTACTGCTGACTCATTGGCCCTCGAATAGAATATCGACTCCAACCTAAGCGCTAGTGCTGTTAAGTGCTTATTCTGGAAATCGTTCAACCAACAGTGGTATGGTAGCTCAGTTGGCTAAGGTGTTGAGGTCTATTTTACATGTGGAGGTTTGAATCCGGTACAGTGTAATCTATATTGAGCGTGCTAATGTGTGGTTTAGCTGGTGTGGAGGGTCCACCCAGTATAAATGATGTCTGGCTTTGGTGAGAGTTGACGAAGTTAGTGAGTTTAATAAGGATTGCACACAACACCTGCTTTGCTTCTTTTTACATTATTATAAAGGTAGAAGACAGAGATTTATCTGTTTTCGTTTTTATTTTGGTTGGAAATTGACATATGTGTTGAAATACTTATATGACAACATACATAAAAGGACATAACAAAATAAAATATTTTTAGAGAAAAGAAATCTGGTATCAATGGGTTAATAAATGGTCCTCGCTAAAGAACCAGGTTTTACTCAGTAACAAAACTATCATCACACAACTATCAACACTTACTTAGCCAAAAAATGTTTACTAGCACATAATTTCACTTGTGTGTGTGGTTGATGAGCTAGAGTCATTGTATCAGCGCTACATCTTCAAGCTGCAACACTCGTCAGTAGCCAGTGTAGTTGCATTGTTTGAGTTGATGAATTGTATTTGTCTGCAGGTTTGAGAATGATGAGCTGGAGTCATTATATCAGCCAGTGTAGTTGCCATGTTTGTGTTGATGAATTGTATTTGTCTGCAGGTTTGAGAATGATGAGCTGGAGTCATTGTATCAGCGCTACATCTTCAAGCTGCAACACTCGTCAGTAGCCAGTGTAGTTGCCATGTTTGTGCTGATGAGTTGTATTTGTCTGCAGGTTTGAGAATGATGAGCTAGAGTCATTGTATCAGCGCTACATCTTCAAGCTGCAACACTCGTCAGTAGCCAGTGTAGTTGCCATGTTTGTGTTGATGAATTGTATTTGTCTGCAGGTTTGAGAATGATGAGCTGGAGTCATTGTATCAGCGGTACATCTTCAAGCTGCAACACTCGTCAGTAGCCAGTGTAGTGGCCATGTTTGTGCTGATAAGTTGTATTTGTCTGCAGGTTTGAGAATGATGAGCTGGAGTCATTGTATCAGCGCTACATCTTCAAGCTGCAACACTCGTCAGTAGCCAGTGTAGTGGCCATGTTTGTGCTGATAAGTTGTATTTGTCTGCAGGTTTGAGAATGATGAGTTGGAGTCATTGTATCAGCGCTACATCTTCAAGCTGCAACACTCGTCAGTAGCCAGTGTAGTTGCCATGTTTGTGTTGATGAATTGTATTTGTCTGCAGGTTTGAGAATGATGAGCTGGAGTCATTATATCAGCCAGTGTAGTTGCCATGTTTGTGTTGATGAATTGTATTTGTCTGCAGGTTTGAGAATGATGAGCTGGAGTCATTATATCAGCCAGTGTAGTTGCCATGTTTGTGCTGATGAGTTGTATTTGTCTGTAGGTTTGAGAATGATGAGTTGGAGTCGTTGTATCAACGCTACATCTTCAAGCTGTAACACTCATCAGTAGCCAGTGTAGTTGCCATGTTTGTACTGATGAGTTGTATTTGTTTGCAGGTTTGAGAATGATGAGCTGGAGTCGTTGTATCAACGCTACATCTTCAAGCTGCAACACTCGTCAGTAGCCAGTGTAGTGGCCATGTTTGTGCTGATGAGTTGTATTTGTTTGCAGGTTTGAGAATGATGAGCTGGAGTCATTGTATCAGCGCTACATCTTCGAGCTGCAACACTCGTCAGTAGCCAGTGTAGTGGCCATGTTTGTGCTGATGAGTTGTATTTGTTTGCAGGTTTGAGAATGATGAGCTGGAGTCGTTGTATCAACGCTACATCTTCAAGCTGCAAAACTCGTCAGTAGCCAGTGTAGTGGCCATGTTTGTGCTGATGAGTTGTATTTGTTTGCAGGTTTGAGAATGATGAGCTGGAGTCATTGTATCAGCGCTACATCTTCGAGCTGCAACACTCGTCAGTAGCCAGTGTAGTGGCCATGTTTGTGCTGATGAGTTGTATTTGTTTGCAGGTTTGAGAATGATGAGCTGGAGTCGTTGTATCAACGCTACATCTTCAAGCTGCAACACTCGTCAGTAGCCAGTGTAGTGACCATGTTTGTGCTGATGAGTTGTATTTGTTTGCAGGTTTGAGAATGATGAGCTGGAGTCGTTGTATCAACGCTACATCTTCAAGCTGCAACACTCGTCAGTAGCCAGTGTAGTGGCCATGTTTGTGCTGATGAGTTGTATTTGTTTGCAGGTTTGAGAATGATGAGCTGGAGTCGTTGTATCAACGCTACATCTTCAAGCTGCAACACTCGTCAGTAGCCAGTGTAGTGGCCATGTTTGTGCTGATGAGTTGTATTTGTCTGCAGGTTTGAGAATGATGAGCTGGAGTCATTGTATCAGCGTTACATCTTCGAGCTGCAACACTCGTCAGTAGCCAGTGTAGTTGCCATGTTTGTGCTGATGAGTTGTATTTGTCTGCAGGTTTGAGAATGATGAGCTGGAGTCGTTGTATCAGCGCTTACATCTTCAAGCTGCAACACTCGTCAGTAGCCAGTGTAGTGGCCATGTTTGTGCTGATGAGTTGTATTTGTCTGCAGGTTTGAGAATGATGAGCTGGAGTCGTTGTATCAGCGCTTACATCTTCAAGCTGCAACACTCGTCAGTAGCCAGTGTAGTTGCCATGTTTGTGCTGATGAGTTGTATTTGTCTGCAGGTTTGAGAATGATGAGCTAGAGTCATTGTATCAGCGTTACATCTTCAAGCTGCAACACTCGTCAGTAGCCAGTGTAGTGGCCATGTTTGTGCTGATGAGTTGTATTTGTTTGCAGGTTTGAGAATGATGAGCTGGAGTCATTGTATCAGCGCTACATCTTTAAACTGCAACACTCATCAGTAGCCAGTGTAGTGGCCATGTTTGTGCTGATGAGTTGTATTTGTTTGCAGGTTTGAGAATGATGAGCTAGAGTCATTGTATCAGCGCTACATCTTCAAGCTGCAACACTCATCAGTAGCCAGTGTAGTGGCCATGTTTGTGCTGATGAGTTGTATTTGTTTGCAGGTTTGAGAATGATGAGTTGGAGTCATTGTATCAGCGCTACATCTTCAAGCTGTAACACTGATCAGTTGCCAGTGTAGTTGCCATGTTTGTGCTGATGAGTTGTATTTGTTTGCAGGTTTGAGAATGATGAGTTGGAGTCGTTGTATCAACGCTACATCTTCAAGCTGTAACACTCATCAGTAGCCAGTGTAGTTGCCATGTTTGTACTGATGAGTTGTATTTGTTTGCAGGTTTGAGAATGATGAGTTGGAGTCGTTGTATCAACGCTACATCTTCAAGCTGTAACACTCTGCCATGTTTGTACTGATGAGTTGTATTTGTTTGCAGGTTTGAGAATGATGAGCTGGAGTCGTTGTATCAACGCTACATCTTCAAGCTGTAACACTCATCAGTTGCCAGTGTAGTTGCCATGTTTGTGCTGATGAGTTGTATTTGTCTGCAGGTTTGAGAATAATGAGCTGGAGTCATTGTATCAACGCTACATCTTCAAGCTGCAACACTCATCAGTAGCCAGTGTAGTGGCCATGTTTGTGCTGATGAGTTGTATTTGTTTGCAGGTTTGAGAATGATGAGTTGGAGTCATTGTATCAGCGCTACATCTTCAAGCTTCAACACTCATCAGTAGCCAGTGTAGTGGCCATGTTTGTGCTGATGAGTTGTATTTGTTTGCAGGTTTGAGAATGATGAGCTGGAGTCATTGTATCAGCGCTACATCTTCAAGCTGCAAAACTCATCAGTTGCCAGTGTAGTTGCCATGTTTGTGCTGATGAGTTGTATTTGTCTGCAGGTTTGAGAATGATGAGCTGGAGTCGTTGTATCAGCGCTACATCTTCAAGCTGCAACACTCATCAGTTGCCAGTGTAGTTGCCATGTTTGTGCTGATGAGTTGTATTTGTCTGCAGGTTTGAGAATGATGAGCTGGAGTCGTTGTATCAGCGCTACATCTTCAAGCTGCAACACTCATCAGTAGCCAGTGTAGTGGCCATGTTTGTGCTGATGAGTTGTATTTGTCTGCAGGTTTGAGAATGATGAGCTGGAGTCATTGTATCAGCGCTACATCTTCAAGCTGCAACACTCATCAGTAGCCAGTGTAGTGGCCATGTTTGTGCTGATGAGTTGTATTTGTCTGCAGGTTTGAGAATGATGAGCTAGAGTCATTGTATCAGCGCTTACATCTTCAAGCTGCAACACTCATCAGTAGCCAGTGTAGTGGCCATGTTTGTGCTGATGAGTTGTATTTGTCTGCAGGTTTGAGAATGATGAGCTAGAGTCATTGTATCAGCGCTACATCTTCAAGCTGCAACACTCATCAGTAGCCAGTGTAGTGGCCATGTTTGTGCTGATGAGTTGTATTTGTCTGCAGGTTTGAGAATGATGAGCTAGAGTCATTGTATCAGCGCTACATCTTCAAGCTGCAACACTCATCAGTTGCCAGTGTAGTTGCCATGTTTGTGCTGATGAGTTGTATTTGTCTGCAGGTTTGAGAATGATGAGCTGGAGTCGTTGTATCAGCGCTACATCTTCAAGCTGCAACACTCATCAGTAGCCAGTGTAGTGGCCATGTTTGTGCTGATGAGTTGTATTTGTTTGCAGGTTTGAGAATGATGAGCTGGAGTCATTGTATCAGCGCTACATCTTCAAGCTGCAACACTCGTCAGTAGCCAGTGTAGTTGCCATGTTTGTGCTGATGAGTTGTATTTGTCTGCAGGTTTGAGAATGATGAGCTAGAGTCATTGTATCAGCGCTTACATCTTCAAGCTGCAACACTCATCAGTAGCCAGTGTAGTGGCCATGTTTGTGCTGATGAGTTGTATTTGTCTGCAGGTTTGAGAATGATGAGCTAGAGTCATTGTATCAGCGCTACATCTTCAAGCTGCAACACTCATCAGTAGCCAGTGTAGTGGCCATGTTTGTGCTGCTAACTGCTGTGCTGGCCAACCTAAGCTTTGCCTACTCCCAGGCCCCGACTGCTCAGAATGTCTACCACATCGCTCACTGTCTACTCTTCGCACTGCTCCTTGTCTTTCTAAACACTAAGCTGATGCAGGTACGATATTGATTCTTGTGAAATGCAATTTGTTCACATTTTTATGTCTAGTACAATAGTTATGCCTTTACAACATTAAAAGTAAAGGGTGAAACCACCTTTTGATTTTATAATGTAGTATTAAAGATTGATAATAAATATGAATTCTTATTTTCGTAACTAGTTTTTGCGCTTCAGTGCATAAATGAATAAAAATAAATGTATTCATATCTTTATCGGTTCAATATTAACCCAGATCTTACAATTTTTTGAATACACAACACACTTACACATACATGTTATTACTAATTAAAAGGGCTAAATCAAACTACTCAACTAACTAAAGTGATCATCCTACCTGGAAAAAAGCACAACATATCAGCACTATAAAGTCTAAAAATAAGCTAAAATTAATTTTATTTATCAAGACATTCCCAAAAGTTGGGGTGGGGGAGCACAGGCCACCCCACACCCCCCCGTACGGGCCTCTGCTTCCGGTCATAAATATTTTCTCTGTAGAAAAATTCATTTGAACTTAGCGACAGCATTTGAAGTCAAGAAAGTGTTAAAATTGACTTTCTGTTGTCAATGATGGCAATGAAACCTTTGTTTGTCGCATTAAAGAAATAAATGATTCCCTTTTCATTTTTCCCATTACGAAGCTTTCGGGTATAAATAAATCTTACTGCTAACTGCCATGGCCACTTGTATCCAAGTTGGTAATATAATAGGCTAAATCTTATATTAATTATTTTTATATGTTGCCGCATCTATTAAAAGAAACCCTAACCCTTAACTGAAGCCATACATATTACATATAGCACCTTTTAACTTTGTATTATAAAAAAAAAAACAATTTAAAGAATCATTATTTTAATAATTTTGTAAATTTTAGCCATATTGATTTTTTACTCTCAACTTCTGGAACTTATTTCAGAAGAGGGATTTGTATAGTTTCTTTGACATATTTTATTACAGTTAGGAACTATGTACTGTAATTTACGGCAAGTACAGCAATAAACTGGGAGTATTAAGGTCATAAATCTTATTTCATTTTAAGATCTGCACTGGCTATTTATCTGTTCCTGCTTCTGCTCTAGCAGTTCTGACCCATTAAATTAAATTATGGTATGGCATTAAATTCAGGAAATTTCCCAGTAAGAGTTTGGGAACTAAACAAAAACGAGATCAATTGACACAGTGTTTATGAAAAAAAATATTTTTTCCCTTATTTTTACTGGTTTGTCTTTGCAGTTAGGATATTTTACCAGTGAAGTAAAAAAAAAATGCAATTAACATATTTCTTCTTGTGGTAATTTAACAAGAGATTTGATATTGGATTTTAAAAATCTTTGGGCAGTTCCTAAAACTTCTATATGTTCTGTTTGGCAAGATTTGTGTTAAAAATCTAAAGATTATAAAACTCTTAAACCATTGGTAAGAATTGATCTAACCAGTTTTAAATATTTTTCTAAGCTAGTCAATGTCATGGATTAAATTTGATACATTGTTATGAAATTATGTAATCACTAGGGGGACTACAATAAAATACAAAATAAATGTACAAATTGAGACTTTTAGTCTTAATATATACACTTGTTATATATTAGCAGGCCTTATGGCTAGGGTACTATATAAAATACAGTATAACAATCAGTTAAGGGGGCAAAGCCCTAAATAAAATTACCTTTCATCCCTCTTCTAAATTATGAGCTCTGACATGACACCTAATCGTTGAAATCAGTTCAGTAGGAAGGGCAAAAAACGGATGTTACAGAGAAAACTCATATTGTATTTGTTTAGTTTATTTAAGATATAGATTTTAAATTGAGTAAAAAAAACACAATTGTAATACCTAACTAATCAACAAAAACTTAACATATTATATATTTTGTGACATTTGCAAATTTCTTAAAAGTGTGCTTATTTAACTCAATTTACCACATTTAACTGTTATTTCTAAATTTATGTCTTCTCCCAAATGTTCTAAAATAAAATAATGATTCCGTAAGAATATATCAAATGTTTGAGGTTTAAAGTATGTTTCGTATATGAAGTTATGAGTAATAGAATTAAATTAAATATATCGTCGATGCTTTGGTGGCTTGGAGCTGTACTCTCTGGCCTCTTGGTTATATCTTCCCCTACCCACTACGACATATGTTATTTATGGATGTCTCTTAAGTAAAGGCACTTCAATGCTCAAGTGAGTCATCAACATCTGCATCCTTAGCTAAAAGTGTTTAAACATATTTCTTTACTAATAATGATAATATAAATTAAATTAAGATAATGTAAAGAGTTTTTCTATGTTTATTGAAAGTGAATGCACCCTACTATTTTTTTTTTTCTATGCATTTTATCATGCTAGAGAAGGTTAATATAGTTTCATTTACAAGTCAAGATGATTGAAAATTTTCCGTATATTTTATATGAAATCACTCTAATCTCACTGAAGCTAAAATAAAATTAGCGGGCTAGAAAAGTATTGAAAACTCTAAAGGAGGGTTGTAAAAGTAAAACATTACCCTAATGTAGTAAAATACCAATACCACTGCCAACTGGCAACCCTCGACTCTTATCTGGGTGAATTGTATCACATTATATGATTATCTTACTTGAAATAAAACTAACTTACATATTTACCGTTATGATTGATTTTATTAAGAATTGCAGTTGTCTTAAAAATCCTCTTTATCTTTAATTTGTGTTGAAAAATTATATAATTTTGTTCAACGTAAGGCACTCCTTCACTGGGTTTCATCTGAAACAATGAACAGTCATACCAAACGTTTGATCTAATTTAATTTTTTTTCTTCAAAATAATAACATTTAGAACTTGTACAAAAGAAAAGTTTTAACTTTATTTTAAGCACCGTATACACCAACAACAAAAAGGCTACAATCTTTAATCATTTATGGGGGATTAAAACAAGAAAAATAAAAAACAACAACAGATTTAGTTAATTATATCAACCTTGCAGACTTTTCTTCCATTTAAATGTCAAAATGTGTAATTGAATTTTAATGAACAATGGTTTACATATTTTTAATATTATTTAGAAAGGGGCTAATGCATAATCATTCTTTTTCTCTAATCTTTACTATTTTAGGGATACTGCAAAATTTCTCAAAATACTGTACCTATGTCTTACCGATAGTGTTACTCATGGACAGACAATGCATCCTGTTCTATAGTCTAAATATGACTGTATTAGTATTACAAAACATTTTTTTACAGTAAAATTTGATTAGTTTTTTTGTTTTCCATCTTTATTTTGCTGATTTATGCTGTGTAAAGGTTAAAAGAATGGGTGAAATACTTTGTTCAACAAGTATAAATATTTTTTTTATCAACTCGGTATTTCTATTAAAAGATCATAGTACTTGTGGAGATATTATTTTAATTAGAGCTGCCTGTCCTACAACTATCTCGCTTTTCACAACTAATGAGCCGACGCTAACTGAAAGTGCAAATGACGGATGAATCAAACAGTTAAGAAAACAAATGTAGGGCCACCGCAGTGTTGGCCGCCTCTCAGCTGGATTTATTGCCGTGTTATTGTCGTTGGCATTGCACATTCAGCGTTCATTCATGCCCCGTTACTGTGCTCGGGTTGTAATGTTTCCGACAATTGAGCACCTCACATCATCGCCAGACGTTAGTGCTCTGTTTGTGTTGAGATCATTGCGTTAATTATTTTACTCTCGGTTTTCTGGAATATTAGGGTTTTTTTTTATTATTAAGGGTTTTTTTTAATAATGCAATACAGACACCTTATTGTGCTTTGTTTGAGGGGAAGATGAGCATGAGGATAGAATGAGTGAGGCTTTATTAATGACTTTTTTTCACCCAGGATTATACATTATATATTACTATATTATTATATATTGTAGGATAAATGAAATGTTTCTGTAATCCACTTGCAAATATGAGACTGTACTATTCTCAATGAATATGTAATAAAGAATATTGTCTATTGTCCATAACACAAGTCCTTAATAGCTGTTTTCAGTTTCACAACTCCGAGAAAAAATGAACGGACTACTTTCTGGTTACTAGTTTCTCACCAACACTCTATCTCTCTACTAAGCCAACATAAATTAGTTTTTAATCAAATTTTTTTTTTTTTTTTTTGCAACAAAAAAAAGTTCAAAATTTAACATGCACAATGCCTATGTTAATAGGTTCTGGAATTTGTTATCCTAAAACCTGTATACCGTAGAATTTATATGAAATTAGCATTGTACATTAACATTGTAGCATGAAATTAACATTGTAAATTACCATCAAATTGTTTACTAACGTATGAGACAATAATAATATGTAGTATATTTCATCACCAATAATTCAACAAATTCAATTCTAAAGTGACCCTTTTCGACCTTAGGTCAAGTTTTACGATCGAGGCGAAGCCTATGTCGGAATATGAGCAAGGGTTGAAAAGGCACTTTTTTACCCATGTGATGAAGTACATTTTTTGTCATACTGCACCATTATTTGAACAAACTATGTTACAAAACTAAATAGTTTTCATTTAAAGTAACCTCAAAAACTTGTTCTAACTTGTTTTCAAATTCATTTTATAATGGAAAGTAGCAGCTGTTTAGTAAGTGATTCAATCATTTCGTCGATTGTGTTAGTGTATATTATACTATTCGATATGTCAAACTATTTACAATAAGGCAACAATAAACTACAATTGATTAAACAATCGATACATACTTTCGTTACATGCGATTGTTGAAATTCACAATTGAGTTGATATCAGCTGATTTTTACTCCCTAGAGAGTAAAAATGGCACTTTGGACCCGCAACGCATGCTTTAAAAATGGCTGTTATTGCTGCAGTATGACGGAAAATAGTAAACTTATAAGTTTACAAAGATTCTGATAACGTGTTTCTACAATGACACTAACTTACATATAACTTTCTTTAAGGCACAAAGGTTTGCAATATATCATTGAGTATACATGTAACTATCAACTAGTATACATGCATATTTAAAAAATTGTTTAATCTAAGAATGAAATTGACCTTTAAGTAATACTTTAATACTTAATAGTAAACAAGGTATTATAAAATACAGACTCTAATTTAAAGATCACAAGGTAAAAAAGGCCATTGTACTGTAACAGAATATATAACAGAGGATTTATAACAATAGGGTAAGTATCTAGTGTAAAAGGATATCAGCAACATGTATAGAGGAGCTTTTTTCTTTGTAGAGAAGTAGACTCTGAAAGTAACAGTCTTGTGTAGAAAACTTTCTTTGGTTCACGATTAGTTTTCCTTTGTTATTAATGAAAAGCCGTTTTGTTTGTAAAACCTACATTGTTAAAATCTCTTGCCAATTTTGTATACACTGTTGTGTGGATCTTTTAGTTTTAAAATTCTTTAGTTTAATCTTGTTATCATTTCTTTGTATAATACGGTTGTTATTTCAAATTGTAATAGTAATTATTAATAAAAATAGCGTTGTTAATTTAACCCTTAGAGCTTTAGAATCATTCTAAATATTTATTCTCTGTTATGATAAAAGTTCAAGCATAAATTTATCAAGATGCTCTGCTTAATGAATTGCAATGAAAATTTTCTGCCTTAGAAGATGTGTGCAAAGAAATTTGTTTATATAATTCAGTTAAGGCTTCACCCCTCAGGCCTTTAAAGTGTCTATGCTGTCCATACTGATGCAAAATTACATCATCAGTAACACAAACAACTCTATCTTATTTTTTTTTAAACATACATATTGTACTGACATGGTTCGGTACAACAGATTATCTTTTTAGGATCTCTTTTGCCTTTGTGATAACTTACAGTACAAAATGGGTGAACCCTAAATTCAAATTAATTTTAAAGACTTGTGAACAATATTTGTTAGATTTTTAAGTTTTTTAGTGAGGATAAAAAAGTTAACTAAAAGAAATGGAGATGGACTACAATCTCACTACAACCAGTATGTGCTTTGACCTTAACTTATGGTTATTTGTTATCATAATATGTTACCATGTTGTCACTTGAGCTAGAATATATTGAAAGAGCTTATTTCCTACAAAACAACTCTTTCATATAGATAACACAGCATGGGGGGCCTAGGGAAGATAGGTTGGTAAAACTGGGAAGGCTCTGAGCCATTTGTGGTTAATTGACCCATAAGCAAGGTACGTAAACACCTAAGCTGCCAACCGAGCGAGCCCTGTTTGTAATCAAACTCTGAGAAAATAAATAACTGCGGCAGCACGTGTAGTGGATGGAATTTACTATTTCTGTAGGTGATTACTTAAGTGGTCGGTGACAGTCGGAAATAGAACTGATAAATAGGAGGTGTGCTTTAGCACGCATAAGTGGTGGGTGTGTAAGTAGGGTTGGAAATAAGCGTTTGGTTAAAAATAGGTTACAGGAATTGAGTTTGTCAAGGTTATTTTCCCCCAACGCTTATTTTTAGTTTTTATGTGAGGCCCTGACTTAAAGAGGAAATTGGTGTTTAGGATGCAATTAATTTGTTTAGTTGTCTATTTTTCTGTAGTAGCAAATTCTTTCTTATGATATCTAGATATTTTTTTTATTTGACTAAATGTCTTCAACATTTGTACTAAATTTAAACCAATTTACTTACAACAACTAATTGTTCTAATTAATAAATAAAAAATTCTTTCTGTTTTTTTCTGACACAACAGTGCTAAAATTTTAATTAAACTACAATCAATTTATTTCATATAAATATTAAAGTAATAGTTTTCACTAGGTTTATGAAAAATATTACATTGATTTTGCGTAGACAGATACTCAAAATTCATCCACCCCAGCTTTAGAAATTTTTTTTCTAACATTATAAACCAAAGTACAAGAAACTACTAAAAGCATAAACATGTTGCAATATTCAATAGCATAAACTGCATGTTTTATTTTCTTAAAGTCCTATAGAATGTTCTACTCTATTGCTAGAAAGGGACTACAAGCATTTGTTGATCCTTTTTATTGAAAACAAATTTTTAAATCCAACTTTGTAATGAGTCCTAGCTTGTGGCAAATAACAACCTATACAAAAGATGCCTGGCCTTGAAATAATGAGAAAATAAGGTGTCCAATTGAGTTTCACCCCTGATCATTTGTGTTTCAGGATGCGTATCTGCTGTGGGTTTGCTATGTGATATTGTTCTTCTGCTCCACATTTGTGGCCGTCTCTTTGCCGCTGGGTCCCGTGGGAGGCAGGACTACTCCCGGAGTAGCGGCTGACGGAGTGTGGCAGGTGGGTTCAATATTCACTATTATTTACAAGGTTGTTATCTTTCTATAGTCAAACTATCAGTTAGTGAAATCTTTATCATCAGTTCAGGAGTGAAAAAAGTGTATATGGTTACAATCATGCGGCATTAACAGATGAATGCATTTTACATCTCCAAATCTATGAATAAAGTAACATCAAAGAAATTATAAAGATAAGAACAGGTATTGTTGCACTAATTTAAATGTTATGTTTTTTTTTGAAGGAAGGATAACCTAATATTTCCTTAACAAGGTCATATGAATTTCTATGAGAAATTTAAAATAATTTTTTTACAAACTTTTTAACATTGAGTGGAATTGTCCAAAGATTTAGAGCAGTTTATAAAGACACATTGAAGAAATAATTACTATAAATTGTATAATAAGGACATTTCTGGTAGAGTAATTGTATTTACTTTGGTATTATGCAGAGGCCATCCTTATACAGTGCGCTGTGGTGGTTATGTTAGGTTGGGTTATCATAGACAGTATGACTCATCTGGTATCGTTCGATTCATAATGAAACGAGGAAAGTCCTTCAAACATATTTATGAGAACCTAACATAACTGCCGCAGCGTGCTGTAAAATAAGTGGCCTCTGTATAATACCAAAGTACCTTTACTTTTGACCAATCTTTCTGTGTTTGATTTGATAAAAAAAGCAAACATAATCAATAAAACCTAAACATTAAAGGAGGGGTTAGTATTGCATACTATTGAAACTGTCCTACATATAAGTGATCTCCAGGTTCCAAAGCTTACAACAAATGTTGTAATAATTTTAATAAATCAACAATAACTTAGAATCTTGATCTTGAGACTGCATCCTTGAGCTGTCAAAATTCCTGTCCAACTTTTCAGGGCTGATTTGAGTAGTTTTCGTGAAGATGGATTCTTGCATCACATCCAAAACTTTTACAAGTATTCACCAACACTGTTATCTCCCGAACATTAAGAATTCACATTCTATTTGAACTATAGCAGCCTAAGTGTTGGTTTAGTTATACAAATTGTCAAATAAAAAAATAAAAAATCATAATTAGAAAATCAATTTATCCAAAATAATTCAAAATAAATGTTTCAAATACCTTAATGCTCTGTGTAATCTTACTTATTTAACAAATACTGTATGTCTACTTGTAATTGGAATGTACACACTTGTACTTTAACGATTAAAGATTTGATTGATTAATTCATCGGTCTTATAACTTATACCTAAAACTCTGTATTCTCAGCTTAAATTTACCTGAGGAACCTGACATAAAATCTCCTCATTAATAAGCAACAATCAAAATGTATACAAAATGTTTGTAATCATAGTTGTTGTTTTTGTGTGTAGGTGTTGTTTGTGGTGTTCCTGGCGTACGCTATGATGCCACTCAAGACGTGGGTGGCAGCACTTTTTGGACTGACACTACCCGTGGCTCACACTGCGGTCGCCTCTACATTGCCTACCGAGTTCCCCCAGCTGCTGTGGCAACAGGTATGTCTAACCATAGTGTGACATCATGAATATTTAGAACAGAAAGCGAGGTTATTTGGCAATAAGGCTGAAAAATATAATTGTAGTACATAATTCTTTTATTTTTAATTTCCATTTGCAGGTCCATGCGCTCACGACGCCATAACACTGAAATACATACATTAACTTGTTGGAGAAAATACATGGAATAAATTTTATTTAAATTTAAAAGGGAATTTTATTGACTGGCTGGCTAGTGCTGTTTATGAAGTAAGTCTCAATCCTGGTCTTAGTGTCCACAAGTACCCACAAGTCCAAATGGCAAACAAAATGCACTGCGTAGCTAATAATACAATCTAGAAAGGGTGGGCAGAATCCTCAATGTGCTTCAACCATATTTGTTGAATTGTAGCGGACCTTAGTCTTTAAGTATACTCAGTTACCTGATAAATGTCAGCATTCTACCAACAAGTTCCTAATCAGAAGGTGACTGACTCTCTATTACCAGATTGCAGTCTCCTGACTTGCCATGTTTCTGCAATGGAGTACCATAATACAAATTCAATGCAGGTGCTTTCTGAACCATTCATGTCCATTAATCAGTCCTACAGTATTGATATTTTTCAGGTTAATTACTGACCTTTGAAATTAACTTTGGAAGTTAAAAAAGAAGTATTAGCCATGACCAGCTTACAAATTAAATGGTTCATTCAAATTATGAAGTGAAACGAATTACACTGTTTCAAAAGACCCTTTAAGAGTTTTTAATGAATTGAAACCAAATTCATTTTCTAATATTGGTTGAATCGATATTTTTCTTTAAAAGTGCATTTTTTAGATTCAGAAAAGGAGTTTGTTGTGATTTCAGAATGTTTTTAAAGTTAATCAATGTTTAAAGATAGAGACAAAAACACTTGCACATTTTTAATAATCTTATAAAATGTTAATTTTTTGTATGTTAAGCATCTGGATTTTTTTAACTGTCGAAAAGGAGACATTTATTATTAAAGAATGTAATGAATCAACTGTCAATTTATCTACTGTACATAATATTTTTTTAGATAAATACAATATAATAGCTGTAATTCTTTTTTGAGAATAATAGACCTTGTAATATATTTAAGTATCAGTTAATTAATATTGATCAAATCCATTACAACTATTTCAATATATAGTTCACTCTTTATTGTTACTTATTTTCACCTTTGAAATAACTAAATAAAAGAAGAAGTTCATAAAGGGTTTGAATGAAGAATTGTATAAAGAAAGGAGCGAGGGAAGCTAATTAGGGTTGGAAGACATTGAAATGCAAACTTTGGGATAACTAGAGCGTTGTGATGAATTGAAGACTGCCAGTCTGTCAGGGTGAAATATCATCAACATTTATACATTTTGTTATATATTACGTTTGAAAACCGTTTTAGAAATTTCACAGACCTAAATTAAATTGATATGCAGATTGGCTGCATATTTGTTATTAATTTTTTTACACTTTGCTGTTGGTTTCTTAAGTAAATTTGCGTGAGTGATTTCAATAGAGATTGAAAATTAATCATAAATTAACATTAAAATCAAATAAAAATTTGTACAATAAATAATTTACAGTAAATTTATTGATTTTAGATCCACACTATAAAGAGTGATTTACCTAATCAGGGCACAGTTGATCAACGTGAGGGGAGTCCGTACAGGAAACTTACCTTTTTAATCAGCATTTGCAGGTGTGATCATAAGCTTTTAAATGCCACCTTAATTGAAAAAATCGTTATGTAGGACAACTGTAAAAGTGATGTAACAGAGCAAACCCATATTGTCTAAGTATAGATTACTAATTTGTTTTAATTAACAGTTGTGGAGCAAATTGTTTTAGGTTTAGAAATTCATAGGGAAGAATTTCAGGGTACAAAACGCTTCTCACTTAAAAAAAGAGTTACAGTCTGAGTCTGGCTAAAACCCCCTTAGGAGGGAAGAAATATCAATTTTAAGCGTGTTTTCAACTTTATAGCGCTATTTAACCGCTCTGGCTGGATTTGATTAATTCCAAGCTTAAGGAGGTAAATAAATTTTTTCTATCTAACTAATTCATTGCAATGCTTTGAGGGCAGATCCATGTCTTAATTGTTACAGTGTTTATATATTTATGATTTCTTAACTAAATGTAATTACACTTCAGTTTTTCTTAAAACGGTAAATGCAAGTTAAATAAATTCCTAGGCATTCATCTAGATGAAAATATTAACTGGAAGGTGCATATAGATGTTATAAAGGAAAAAAGTAGACCTGCATCATCTGTCTTTGTCCACTTGAGAGAATGTGTCACCATTGAAGTACTTAAAATGGTTTATCATGCCTATGTAGAATCCATCTTGAGGTATGGTGTGATTTTATGGGGACAGGCAACTGATGCAAAAACTATTTTCAGACTTCAGAAAAGAATCGTCCGAATTATGACTAACTCCCACCCCAGAAGTCCTTGTAAATTACATTTTCAAAATTTAAAAATCCAAACACTCACAGGACTATACATATTTGAATTATTAAATTACATACACAATATAAAAAATAACCTCCCGGATTCATTCAAATTCACACACAACTAAGAAACGAAACAATTTTCAGATTACCAAATCACCTTATTTGAAAAAAGTCCTTTGTATGCAGGTTTAAAAATGTATAATAAACTACCGGTATATTATAAAATAATGAGTTCAAACAAGTTTCAAGAAACTTTGAAAAATGGATGAACGTGCGTTTTATAAAATAGAAGAATTTTATAACCATCCCTTGAGTTAATTTTTTGTTTTTTTAATTTGTTTAACTACTGTATTAACATTATTTGGCTAGGTATTTTTTTTTCTGTTACTTTGTATTTTTCTAGTCTAGGCTCAATTTTGACAATGCACCTGTTCTATATGTTATCTATAAGTATAAAAGAGGATGTTTGTATATATATTTGTTTGTTTGGCAGTGATAAACTCAGACACCGCTGAACCGATTGCCACGAAACTTGGTACATACGTGTAGAATGCCATGGAATAGGTTTATACACCATCAATTTCGTGATCCGTCCAATCGGCTCCGCCCCAGTGGCTCTGGAGTTTCCCATGTTAACCTTATGAGAAATGGAATTAATGAATCTTAACAGCTGTTTCAATTAAACAAGTTGGTTCTGTTCTATGATGTTCAATAGCATTAAAGTTACAAGGATTACCAACAGGGTGCAGCACTATTATTTCTTTTACATTTATGACAACAGCTAATTTGCAACCAAAAGGTGAGTGAGCGTAGCGAACAAACTTCAACCTGGAGGCAAGTTAACGTAGCGAACGAGCTAACCTGAAGGCAAGTGAGCGCAGCGAACGAGCTCCAACCTAAAGGTGAGTGAGCGTAGCGAACGAACTTCAACCAGGACGTGATTGAGCCATGCGAACGAGATCATCTTGAAAATTAAGAAGTTAAACGGGGCAAAGCCCGCGGGATTATAAATAGTCAAAGGCAAGACAACGTCTGCCGGGTTCAGCTAGTCACATCTAAAAGAATGTTATGTGCAAATAAATAATGTCTAATGTCTAATATATCTTGTTTACGTAGAAATAATCATTTAGAAATATGACATGTTATAATTAACTAGGAAATTTCTCTATCGCATAGGGGCAGAAATTCAAAATGGTTCTGTTATTGTTTTTTTATTTATTTTTTGTTCTGCTGATTGATTTGATTAAAACAGTAAGACAATTGTAAATCAACCTATTTATGAACAATGGATGTTTCTCATAAAGAACAGTTCCATATAGTTAATGTGTTTGTATCTACAAGTGTATCCGTGTGGTGTGTTCAGGTGATGGCCAATGTGATAGTGTTTGTCAGTGCCAATGTGGTGGGAGTGCTGCTACACACACTGATGGAACACGCGCAAAGACGAGCGTTCCTCGACACTCGCAACTGCATCGCGGCCAGGCTGGAGATGGAAGACGAGAACGAGAAACTGGTTAGTCAATTTTCAACTGTGTAGTATACTGAGAATATGTGAAAATCCTATTGCCTCTAAAGGATGATATAATGACAGAAAACTTCACAAAACTTTCTTTAATTTAAAGTCGAGTTATGAAGGCAATGAATTAATATCGTAGTCAGATTTCAACCCCGCAATATCTCAAAATTTTTTATAACACTTTGACAACTCAAACATCGCTTACTCGAAAAACTTAGTAACTTGAACTCTTACCCTAATCCCTTCAGCTTCAAGATATCAAGGTCCTATTGTTCTAATATTTTAAAGGTAGGCCTTGAAGAAATGTCCTTGAAAAGGTTTCCAAGAGTCTTTAAAGAATGTGAAATTTTGTCTCATATTTGAAATGTTTAATGATTGATAAATTAGTATCAATCCATAAAATATCTTTTTGATATCTGTTAATTAAGGAAATTTGTTCGTCCAATTCATTATACTTTCTTTTTTAAACATAACATAAAGTTTTTGTTTTTTGTTTTTACAATTTAAAGTCAGTTCTAAGTGGTGATTTGTTGTCAAGAGTTTGTGTGTTGCAGGAGAGGCTACTGCTGTCAGTCTTGCCGCAACATGTAGCCATGGAGATGAAGGCAGACATAATGTCTCCTGTAGAGGGACAGTTCCACAAGATCTACATACAACGCCATGAGAATGTCAGGTATGCAAAAGGGGGTATTCCACCAATTCTGTAGACGGACAGGTTGATGTTCATACAGTAACCAGCAGTCTTGCGCCATTATGGCTCTATTTTCTCAGGCTATGCAGAAGTCTTCCCTTGCTTACCAACAAATTTAATCAAATTTACCATATAATGTTGCTTTTTTAAATAAAATTTACAATAAATAATGTTGCCCCTTTTTATTCTTGATTTATGGTCTGTTTTATTCACTAAACCCTTAAGTAGTATTACGAGGAGTGTTATTAGTAGGGGAACGAGCTGGCGTAGTGGTTAGAGCACGGGTCCTGGGTTCGATCCCCGCCAAGTCACCAATGGATTTTATCTAAGTGATAATGCCGCAACCCCTAGATCTAGCCTGAAGTAATGTGAAACAAATTAGTATTACACTTTTTATAACTTTTAACACTCAAAAGTTAAGATAAACTGGATTTTATCTAAGTGATAATGCCGCAACCCCTAGATCTAGCCTGAAGTAATGTGAAACAAATTAGTATTACACTTTTTATAACTTTTAACACTCAACAACTTGTAACTGATATACTGATGTTCTAGTATCCTGTTTGCCGACATTGTGGGGTTCACTGTGCTGGCGTCTCAGTGCACTGCTCAAGAACTTGTCAGGCTGCTCAACGAACTGTTTGGCCGGTTCGACCAACTTGCCAACGTAAATATCACCTTTCACTTTCTCAAAATGATATTTTTATTTGTATCGGAGTCTCAAAAACTGCATAAGTGTTCCTTTTACATTTTATTGGAAAAATGAGTAGTTTGTACCATTGGTACAATCGCTTCTTTTTTGGAGGTCATATTAGATTCATTTGTTTTTTAAGAGGCTATTACATGTACATTTTATCAATTACAAAACAGTTATGCTAATGTCTTCTGATTTATGGCCTGCCTTATCAATTATTTAAAATCATAACCTAAAACTTTGTATATTAATTGGCAGTAATATGATAGTCAAATTAACAGCACGGGTAAATTTAACGGTAGTAGAGTAACAACGCTCAGTGCTCAAGCCAGTATTCTTGACAATCACCAGAATACATGTTGTCATGTTGTGTAAGTGGTAGACTAGGGAGTGGCTACTGTTGATGGTATGTGACATGTATTATTGAAATGTTAGCATTTTGTCCACAGTTTATAAAATATAAAAGGAGTAAAACATTTAAATTACAGATATTTCCCAAACAACAAGATGATTTTTATCTAACATCCCTTTTAGACTTCTAAATTTCATTATCTACTCCAACTGTCTTTGTCACTTTACCAAGCTTCTAGTGTAGTCTGATAGAGAGTTTTGTTGGCAGGATAATCACTGTTTGAGGATAAAGATCCTGGGAGACTGCTACTACTGTGTGTCTGGGCTGCCAGAGCCTAGGTCAGACCATGCTCACTGTGCGGTAGAGATGGGGCTTGACATGATAGACGCCATCGCGTAAGTGTAGGCCTACTACCACTCACCCAGTATCATATTTAGCCAAATCAGACTGTGTCAAGATATTTATACCTTAAAAATCCAAAATATTTTTTTTCAAATGTAGAGTTCTATTGAAAGGTTTTTAATATAAAATGGTTTAAGATATATTATTATATGTATTGGCAAACTCATCCACGGATGAAAGCACTTTTATCTCAACGCTCGGCAACTTGAAGATGTGTCCCAGCGCGAAACAGCTGTAGTTGTTTTTTAACTACATCAAGGATAGTTTGACGCAAAAGGTAACGTTAACCATTTTATATTGCAATTTTCAATCCCCATCATAAAAAAGGTTTTTAGCCATAAGGTAGATATTTAATTTGGTTGCCAATCAACTCATAGCTTGCAAGAAGAAGGGATGTAACTGTAAGTACAAAGGCTTATTTGCACTTATGTCCATTTGTCTTGCAAGCGTTAAATTGTTCAATGCTTTTTATTAGGAGTTTACATTATTTGATTACCGTTATTGTACTGGTTGTAATACTTCCGGTCATCCTTATCAAAGGAAAACAAAATAAGAAGTTCTGTATCCTCTACTGATCCAACCTCTTGGTTCATACCTCTTTTAAAAAAGAATCAATACATCAGGTGTGTTTGAAGGCTAGGCTATAAACCAGCATTTTACCTGTGTTTGTAAAGTGTGAACGAGCTACAAGTAGGATTAGTATTCATGATTTCGGAGCAGGTGTAGTAAGAGTTTTAATTAAAAGCACTTACCAACAGGCCCTCTTCTTACTCGCTGGATCGTAGCATCTAAACGTGGTTAGTCTACTTGACATTTGCCATTTGATTGGCTGATGAGTTGTATGTTGCAGCGCTGTCGTGGAGGCAACAGATGTTCATCTCAACATGAGGGTGGGGATACACAGTGGACGAGTGTTGTGTGGTGTGCTGGGGCTCCGCAAGTGGCAATACGATGTGTGGAGCAACGATGTCACCTTGGCTAACAACATGGAGGCCGGCGGTGAACCTGGGTATGTACTTGGTCACCTCAAGTGTTATGCATTATTTTCACCCTTACAAATTTAAGTTGATATTCGCTCAAATTTGCCTATTTAATAAATTTTATAAACTTCTGTCGGGTTTTGGCATACTGTTTGCCTTTCCTCTTCACCCTCTAACACCTATTTTAGCGAGTTTGTTAGCAAGACTGTCTGTGTCTTCTTGGTTTTGACATCTTATGCAAAACCCAACATACCGGAATTGAACATTCCCTACGAGATACCTTTGGCAACCCTCCCTTCAGGCAACCTAATGCCTTCAGGCATTAGCACAATCTGCCCAAGCCATCGGAGCTTTTTTTTTCTTAAAACTTCTCACAATGTCTCGCCCTTCTATAAAGTTGTCCTTCCAAGGAGATATTAACTATGTAAAGATTCTTCTGTAAACACAAATGGGAATGCAGTACAACATTTTAGTGAGTAACAGAAGAGCAAAAAATTGAGATTTTAAATTAATTAATTGTTAGAAACTTATCTTATTTATTTAGTGTATTTTTATGGTAACTGTTAACTGTTGAATTAGTTGCTGATAAAATTACTTGGAAAATCATTTCCTCTAATCATATTTTACGTAAATGGCAGTGCAAAATCTTTCCTTGGTAGCATACTCATACAAACATACTCATTAGACAAATAATTAATGGTGCAATTTTAAAAATTGTAATCTCTTTTGGAGCCCTTATTTGGAAAAGGATGAAAATATTCACTCTGCATTTTGTCTCTGAAACCTTCTACACACTTTAGCAGCCTACGTTCTTTTGCTCTTATTTTATCCACATCTATGTTCTACAGGAGGGTACACATCACCCAGGCCTCCCTGGACTGTCTGGGAGGAGAGTATGAGGTAGAGCCGGGCCATGGCGCAACACGCAACCAGTACCTGCGTGACAACAACGTCACAACATACTTCATCGTGCCTCCCGCGCGACGGAGAAAGGTTAACATGCATGCCAAGTCGCATTACACGCTGTAAAAGCCAAACACAGAATTTCAACAATAGTTTCTCAGTTATGTTTTAATTATGTAGGCCTAACTTATTTTAGTCATTTTTACTTATTCTTGTTGGTCATCAGTTCTTCATTTTATTTTTGAAAAAGATTGTAATGTTTGAATAATCAAAGGTATCTTACAAATATTGGGTCAAGTATTTCAGAAACTGGGAAATCATTTTTAAGTTAAAATAAATCAGTATGAAGTTCTGGGTTGACTTTTCATCAAAACAATTTCATCATTAAGCTTCTTTCATTAACAGCTTCACAAATACTTACCACATACTGTATTTGGATTATTATGTACAAGGATAGGGATCAGCTTGCTTACCTGGTAGATCGAGTCCAGATTAGCTTTGATTACACATAAAACACATGACACAACACAGAAAAACTTAATATTTCGTCCCAGTTAGGGACTTCATCAGAAGGGAGAAGAAAGAAAACTGGCTTACAGTTCAAATTCAAAAGTTAAAAAACTCTGTCAAGCTCAATATATAGGCCTAACCACCCAAACTCTTAGAAAAAAGATGAATGGACATAGACAGGATGTTAAAACAAACAAATACAAACCCATTGTTAAGTTTTTCTGTGTTGTGTCATGTGTTTTATGTGTAATCAAGGCTAATCTGGACTCTATCTACCAGATAAGCTAGCTGATCCCTATCCTTGTACATAATAATCCTAATCAGCCAATTGGCCTTTCCTTAACTCCTAACACATACTGTGTTTGAAATTATTACTTATTTTATAGCAGGCTGCATTTATGTTGCCTTACTGTAATGTTTTTTCTTTGAGTATGCTCTGTTTAGTTTGATTTTATGAATGTGATTTTGTGTTATTTATACAGTAGAACTCCCAACTGTGCGAATAAATTGAGACTAGACTTTATAAGTTTAAAAGTGTGTTTAGCTAGTCAATCACTCAAAATCAAAACCATTTGAAATACACTTCACTTCTATCTCCTATGTGTTTGAAACCTTCCGTTGTACCTGTCTTAGTTTTAATATCCACAATTTAGTATGTTTCTGCCTTAATGTTTTTAAACAGACAAACGAGCTTGAATTGTTTGAGTTCTACTGTGCGCTTCTTGTTTGAAATACTGACTATCATATAGGGCTGTCAAATATTTGAAAGAGTTTATTAAATGGCAATGTTCCATTGTTTGATTATGCTTTTAAATTATTTCCAAATTAAATTTAATCTGTCACCCTTCCGTGTACTCTCTAAGATAATATAATGTGAATAACATGTTTTAAAAGAATAACATGTACAAGTCTAAGGCTTAATCCAATATTGTATTGAAATATGCCTTAAAAGAATAGTCAGTTTTTTAGGCAAAGTTTAGTAATTTCTTGTCTAAGCTTATTACTTTGTGTTGTGTTGTGTATGTTATTACTTTTATTCGTTGGCTACCTATGTTTGTGTCATATAGGAATGTTTTATTTGTTTAAGGCAGTTTATTCTTTTTACCATCTTGAGCAATTAAAAAATCATGCTTCGCACAAGTGGTAGATGTTTAGCAATTTTTTAGCCAACTTAATTTTGTTTTGACAATTTTCACGATTCCGCCTCATGACTCATTCAATGTTTCACCAATTCATTTATGGTGTCGTCATTGTTAAACTTATCGGTATTGCATTGTTTAATGTATTTATTTCAGGTTTTTAATTTGTTTTCATTTGATAATTTGCTTTGTAGAAGTAGAACTTTAATTGTGACTAATAAAATCAACTGTGCAATAGAAGTATCAAGTTAACTTTTCAAAAGTAAAATTGCAAAACTATCTGTTTCTGAAAAGTCATGGACAGTCAACATTATTAGAGAAAATTAGTTAATTATAAGATTTGTATTCAAGTAAATTTGCAAGAAATTTATGAGAATTTAAATGACCGACATTTTCATTGTTTCCTAACCATCCTATCTGAGAAAACTTTAGTTAATAACCAATTATCATTAAAATAAAGAAGTTAATTGACTTTAAAATTAGCTTACCAAGACATTTTCTTTTCCAAACAAGGAAAAGATAGTAAACGTACCATAGATACAATATTTTTCTAGATATATTCTATAAAAACAAAAAAAATCATCTTTTTTTCTTGAAATATGAAAAAGATGTTTCTAATACACAATTTAATACATTACAATACAATTTATAGTATTTAAATACGATCAGGAGGCTAAAACTCTATATAATAAATTTATTTTTGACTTGCAAATGAAGATCATAAATCATTTCAAATTATTCTACCCGTTATTAAATCAGGGCAATAATAGTAATAATGGACCGCATTTAAAAAAAAATTTTTGGTAAATTAGCCTATGAACACAAACTTCATCCTTACTGTGTACTCTTCCTTAACTATCGGTGTTTTCTCTAAAGTTGGGTTTTAACTACTTTTAAATCAAAACTCACAGTTAATGACCTTTTTGTGTGGTATTTATTATGTAGTTCTTAGTTGTTGCTGACAAGTTTTTAATCCACTTTCTTCAAAGTAAACACACTCGCAGATTGTAAGTACTGTAGAACATTTTAAGTGATTTGACAATCCCTTCTAAATCTGTGTGTGCTTATTAGTTGCTGATATTTAAGTAGAATGATCAATTGTTTACTTAACATCTTACAACAAAGTAGTTCAGTCCACTCTCAAAAAACATTTGTGAAAAATATAAAGTTAACAACGCTCAGATAAAAATTTAAGTCTCACTTCAATAGCAAAGAGATCTATATTGGATATATTTTTCTACAACTCATTCAATAATAATCTTCATAACTACGAGTACAAAATATTGTAATTTACAATTTAATATTTTTCCTCTATTCTCACTCAGTGATGAATACCAGACTCGAGAGCTTCCCCTCTTTATCTGTTTCTCAAAATTTCTGAAAACCAAATTCTAAGACAAGATTGAACGGACACAAACATGCGTAGTCGACGAGCAAGTGGTTGTCCGTTGTCTAACATTGTTGCGTCTGTTGTCTAGCCGTTGTTGTTCAACACCCTACAGGTGCGGTCGGCGCTGGGAGCTGCACAAAGACGCAAGTTGTCGTTCAAGAATGTCTCCAGTGTTGTGGTGCAACTGCTCCACAGCATCAAGTACTCCGTCGAGGTCCCTTTCTCCAACATTGCGACTGGGGCGGAGATCAAGTCCAACGCAGCCCGAAAGGTAGATATTTTTTTGGTAAAGTTTAATCTTCTTAGGACTTCTCACACATCATATCATGAATGCAAAAACAAATTTTTTTTCTGTTCCCTTATAAGAAACAACTTAAAAAAAAAAAAAAAACAGAAATAATATTTCTACTTTTAGATAGTCTATCAAATTCTTTTTATAACTTATGATGTATTTTTTTAAACCTGTGTAAATATTTCTTGGAAATGTAACTTACTGTTGTCTATTATAATGTTACAAATTTTATGCTATGTGGATTCAAAGGTTCTCAAGTTTTACACAGTTTATTTTGTCAGCTGTTGAGAACCTTGTAACCAGAAATCAATTAATTGCGGGATAAACTAATGATATCAATTGAATGAATGAATGAATGAATAAAGTGCTTTATTTTAACATAAACATTCCTCTCATAACATAAGCATGATATCAATTGTTTTAAACAATTAAACTTGATTGAACATAGAAGTTTTAAACTGGTTCTGTAAAATTAAAATACAGTACTCTCGACTATCCGAGCCTCGGTGAACCGAGCCCTCGGGTTATCCAAGGTTGTTTCTGGCCTAAATATATATATTTATTTTCAGTAGCTACGTTATTTGGAAAAAAGGTTTCACCAAAATTACATATTATAATTTTTCATTCGTTATGTGTTGTTTGAAAACACATTTCACAATAAGATACCGTAACCATAACCTCAAAATCTAAGACACCTCCGTGTTATCCGAGATTCTCGGTAACCGAGGTGGTCTGGGTCCCAACAACCTCAGTTAATTGGGAGTACTATGTAACTACAGCTACATAGATACATAGTACATAGTACAGCTAATGGATGTACTATGTTGACAGTTGAAACATATTTAGACAATGTAACAAGATTTTAATTGAGTATTGCCAGTGAAAAGTATTTGAGTTTCCAGTTTTGAGTTCAATTTTTTTCATGTATTTTTATATAAGCAGTAAATAGGTTCACAGTCATAATTTTACTATTTTGTACATTTTAGTAACAATTTAGTGAGGCTACTATATTGTCCCGAGTTGAGTTAGAAATCTCTATGTTATCAGTGTCTTAAAAATATCTTAAAAATTGCATGTGTTGCACATATCGTAGGAGGATTTTTTTGAAACAAACAATTAAGGAGTGTCTTTGTTATAATGCCTAAATGTTTATATTTTTTGTATGTGTTTAATTGTTGTATGTCATCAAGTGTTTCATGTCAACTGTTTGTATGTTGTTTAGAAAAAGTCAAATGTTGTTTTAAATATATGTTGTATGCATGGTTGAGAACTGGGTCTTTACATATGGTTTCTTTCAAACGATCTTTTCACTTAAGTTTTTACTAAGAATATATTGTTATTAACTCTAATGATTGTTAAAAAGTACTTTTAATGATTTAGCAAATTTTCTTCTTCATAATTTTAAATTTTATAATAATACAGGTTGTAATGTGTAACGTTCAAGCAATCTTTTCCAATTTTGTTCCCTCAAATCCATTGTTTCATGGACAAAATTAAATTTAAAATCTGTTTTTATTAACCTGTTCATTTAAATGCTGGGCTTGATTTGAGAATGTAAGTTTGATTTTTATCGAGTCTTAGAGTATTTGGTGGGTTTATGACATGTAATATATTTTCTATTTGTTATTAACTACACAGCACTATGCCTTAGTTGCATTTATTGATTGGATCACCCATTGTAGATTTCATTTAGCATTGTTAATCTCGATGTTGTCTTTGTTGTTGTATGTTTTGATGTTCACACCATTTTTATTATTAACACCGTCTGTTCCTCCTCGTTTATCCTTGGTAGCAAACTATGTTGCCTTTGATGTTGTCCTATCCATGGTAAACGTTGGATTGTTGTTTAAGAACATTTTCATCCCTCAAGATATCCAATGCAGATCAGTATTATTTTTTTCATTTACAATTTATCAATCCTACTATTTGTTCCTGATGTAGGTTGTTGGTTGTTGGTAGTTGGCTGTGTTGTGTTGCATGTTGATGTTGTTGGTTGTTTGTTGTAGGATGCGGTAAGTGAATGCACCCCACACACATTGACTGCACCACAGGCAAGTAATGTCCACTTCACATACCCTACACATAGAGTAATCACATAGACTTCATAGATATTTAGGCCCCAATACTTAGTAAAAGTCTATTTACAATGTAAGTACACTACTTGGTTGAGGTCTGCTGGTCCTCGTGTTGGATCGGGCCAATAGTTTGGGTGAGGGAACAGAGTTGGAAATAATTAATAAAATTATAAATCGGGTAGAGCCAAGCTTTTATTTTTTGATCGCATAGGGAGTTTTGTGAAGGTTCACAAGATTTGAAGTTCACAAAGATTTGTGATCGAAAATTGTCAATTTCGCAGTGATTGCAGAAGAGGTTCACAGCTTTGTCTACTGTGGGAGATCTTCACAATTTCGCTGCAAATTCGGAAGAGGTTTACAATTTTGCCCTGACCACAGAGAATGATCACGATTTTGCTGCAAATATGGAAGAGGTTCTCGACTTTAATATGTCTGCAGAAGACAATTACGATTTCACTGTGACTGCAAAATATGTTTAGGATTTTGCGATGACTGAGACGTTCCTGTTTTCGTTATGACTGAGGAAGATGTTCACGATTTTGTCGTGCCCCTAGATGTTCTTGATTTCACTGTGACAATAAAAAGATTCACGGTTTGGTTGTTACCACAGAAATTAATGTAGCCTACTATATTGTTACATTAAAATTAATATATATATCGAGTTTTTACTTCACCCGACCCAAATTAAAAAGTCAGGCCCGCAGACCTCTACTATTTCAATAGTTTTAGTTCAAGGTATAATAGTTCTAAAAATCTGAATTTGTTTTTGAATATTTAAAGGGAAATCGATTTTTTTTCATTCTGGTAATTTATTATTGTTATAGTTCATTGAGGAACCAAGTTGTATTTAGATCAACATCAATTTCTCATCGGGAGTTTAGTATGATAATTATTATTGAATTCTTTATATTTGACGTAAATTACAAAACCAAATGTATTACTGTAGGAAAACATTCAATTCCTCAAGAGAATCTTGTGACAATTTAAGTCTCTTGAGAAATTGTTTGAAACAATCATAGTTAAACTATACTTAACAAAAATGTATGGTTCATTAATGTTACAACAGAATTTTTTTTTACTTTGTACTATTTAAATGATTATTCTAGGCTATTTTATTTTTTCATGTATGTCATAGTGATTTGTTTTATCCTTTATTGTATATTGTTTTATAATTTTGAAATAAAGTATCCCATTTCTCACGTTATTGAAATTACGTTATGATGTCTCTTGAGTGAACTTTATTTTGCTCTTTTTTAAGCTTAATTTGAAAAATAAAAATAAACTATTTGAATTACATGTACAAACATTTTATCCAGTGGAATTGGAATCAGTTCAGACTATTGATCTTGGTAGCATGTAGGTAGGCAAGTTGAGTGTTTTAGCATCTTAAAGTTTGGCTGAGATGTTAGTTAAGAAATAAGTCATAAGTGTATTTCCATTTTTAACAGTCCCAACTGTATTTTAAGTTAGAGTTTAAAACTCATCTATAACAATTATTAAACATCAGTAAACTAAACCAGTTAGGTCATGGTTATAATCAAGCACTTTAAATAAAGTGAGTAAATATTTAGTCATTTATCACACACAAATTTAGAGATTTAGTAGCATCAGCGTCTTATCACAGCATGAAACCAGTAGGCTTAAACACCTTAAAGAACTCACTAAAAGATCACACTAGTGACATTCAAATCTTCAAATTCTCTTCATCTCAAGAGAAGATTCAAATCCTAGATTTGAAAATACATTTTTAAATCACATATTTCGTTACCATTCTGAAAATCGGGCAATTTTTTGAAGTAACTTTTGTGGGATTTAAATAATTTAGGATGTGTGATTGCTATGATTGTGGTAGATGATCACAATGCCAAGTTAATTGCAACACTAATGGATATTGCTGTGATTGCAAGATATTATCACAGTATTGCAACGTTTCTTGTGTAAATTTGTAAAATCCATTTTCTTTTTTTTTTTTATAAAGTAATCAATGACAATATTTTCACACACAACGGATTTGAGATCCAGAACTCGATTTTTCCATGATTCAGATTCTATAACATACTACACGACACCATTGAGGACTAAAGTAGATGATAAAACACAGACAAGAGACAGAGGTAGGTGGAACTGTAGATTGCATTGTACGTGACTTACAGGTGCTAGACCTACAGAGAGCGCTGCACGCAGACCCAGCTAGTGCGGCCGGTCACGCGTATCACGACTCTCTCACTCTACGTGACATCACAGCCAAGGTAACTCACCCTGCGTGACTCACCACACTGCATGAGCAACAGAGTTACAATAGGAGGAGAATGCGATGCGTTTCATTGTAGAGTGGCATGAGATAATATGAATGTTTACACTTAGTACAAAAACAAGCATGTTTTAGGCTATTGAGAGGTATAAAATGCACATTTTCTACACTGATGTAAGCCTTAGCTAGTGAAATCTTTGCATGTACAACATAGGGAATATTTTACCTATCTTCCAGAGTTTTTCTTTCTATAAATATTTGATTTTTTTAATTTAACTGAATTGTTGATCATTTGAATGATGTTTGTAGATAATTTGGTTTATTAGTTGGCTATGCTAAGGTTTTTTGTAGCCTTGAATATTAATTTTTCAAAATCGTTAACAGATTTCTTTCAGTTCTCATCAATAGGTCAACTGCTACACAATTTACAGAATACAAATCAATTTGTGGCAAAATATGTTAGTGAATTTCCAGAAGTTCCCTACACCGTAAATAAATGTATTGCTCATGTTAGCTAAACTTACTACTTACTAAACTAAACTGTTAGCATTGACTTTGATCTCTAGTAGACTTCTCAAGGTATTAAAAACCTGAATCCTGCAAGATTATGTTTCATGTCCGGTTACGTTTGAGTATTGATTTTGAATTTTTTATTATATTTATGGACAAATTTAAGTTGTACACTTTGAACTTAACTTGTTTATTACAAACAGTAGTTATAAGTAGCCAGTTTGGTTTAGTCAATAAGAGGTGAGGTTGGAAGAGTAAGAAATAACTTGTAAAACACACACAAAAAACACTAAGACAAAAACGTTGCTTTAAATGTCCTTCGACTCTTTAAAAGATGATAAATTTATAAGGGAGTGCGTTTCATTTTCTGTCTAGGTTCAATCTTGGAGCTTTACATTATTAAATGTTTCAACTATGAGAATAATTAGAAAAAACCCATATTTTATTTACTTTAAGAATAAAAAACCGAGTGCTTAATAAATATGTTAATATTATGTTAGTCAAGTCAAGTCAACTTAGATCTAGTATTTTGAACATGGTTAATATGGCTGAGAATTGTTTTTTTCACATGGCATGCATTTTGTGTGGCTCCACTTTTTATTTCACTGTTTTTAGTGGTTTACTTGTTCAACTGTTGTGATCTTCACCATGTGTTGATTGAATGTTGCACAATTTTCAGTGTTTCAGTTAATACTCCGTTCACTAAATTTAGGCGTTTTGAGGGGGAAGCGATTCCATCCGCTCCAGCTGACTTTACCTTTAAAATAATTGTCAACAGCTAAACAGCTGATGTATAGATTAAGCTAAAAAAGGTGGTGGGGGAACCCGGGAAACCTTCCCTTCAAACCGCCTAAATTTTGTGAACGGACTAGTATAACATATGTTGAATAACAAGGATAAGTTGTATTACTCCATTAACATTTTGAGTTATTGTTTTTCTTTTTAATCCTTCATTATAAAATTTATGTGTGATATTACTAATATTACTTTGTTTACACTTTCGGTTGTCAGCATTATATTGCCATCCACTCTTAAATTTCCTTTTTATTTAATTTGTTGAATATAAATAATGTAATTCATTTAACTTTACATTTAATGATTTCTATAGCAATACTGTGTCGTGGGCCTAACATAATATTTGTCGGTTACTTAATACTTGTGTGAGTTAATAATAGTTTTTATTTACAGGAAGAAACAAATAAGCCATTTCTTGTAAGTCTTGGTTGAGATATTGCTTTCTTGCATAGGATAGACAATTGCATTTGTTATTTTCTCAAGACTTTTCAATTACATTAGAACAGTTATAAGGCATTAGAGGTAGATATTTAACAAGATGGTGTTATCGTTTATTTGCTTACTAATTCGGGTATGGTGTCTTGCTAGTGATTTCATCGGGTGTGGTTTCTTTTTATTATAGTAATTTTAGCAATAACATGATTTAGACTAGATTTAATTTTTACCATGAGTGGTTGAGAAATACAATGAAAATTCCTCAGTTGCAGCAACCATAACGTTTATAGGTTGATTTACACAATTTTTTTAAAGCCAGTCTATAATAAAAAAGATTACACTTTGATTCATGCCCTTTATAAACTACAAGGACATTCTAAATAGTTTTTTAATACTGTGATATTTAAAAAACTACAATAAATAAAGAATCATTCCAAGTATAAGAAAAATGCATCCTTAATCCTTATACAAACAATGTGTGTGGAAAAAATGCTTGAGTATTATATGCAAGGCGATGGAAATGTATACTAATGTCGGCATTAACCATTCCATTAATTTTACACATTAATTTTTTGCAAAAGAAAAATAAAATGTGAGGCAATTTCAAAAGGAGAATTTTTTTTGTCAGGACAAGCTTAACCTCGTTATAACCCTGACTGTTGCACTTAAAATTGGTCAGGAGGCTGTACTAAAAGGATGAGTAAATTCTTAAATTGTAAAGATTCACCCAAATAAACCCATAAAAAATGCTGCATTTATAAATAATTTTACGGGTAAATGTTTTTGTCATGAATTAGAGTGGCTTTGAGGGTTGCAGTTTGAAACATATTTTATTTGTCATTTGTCAATGTTGGTTTCAGTGTTGGAATGATACATCTGTAATATAGCACCATGATCACTTAAGCCATTAAAGATGTTAAATTATATTTTATTTTTGGTTTGGTTAATTCATTGTTATTTTACCTCTTGTCAATTGTTAAAGTTAGTTGTTTAGCTAACATTACAATTACACTCTATTCGTATATGTATTTTATTTACGTTCATTCTGTTTTTTAATTTCAACTACTTAATTTTTTGCTATGAAATGAAATCTTCAAGTGTAGAGGAATAGTTTCTTTTGACATTTACACAAGGTATTAACAACCAATTGTGTTGCAGAACAAAGTGACGGACAAATTCAAGCGACCTTTCAAGAAGCGACATTCGAGTGTTTACCATCAACCTAGCAACCGAGTCAACAAGTACCTGAGTCAAGCCATCGAGGCTCGCAGTGTCGACCGAGAGAAGAGCAACCATGTCAACCTGGTCACACTGTGCTTTAAGGATAAAGAGAAAGAGAATCAGGTATACCAACTGGTGTAGTGGAGTATCAGTAGCTAAAAACCTTTCAAAATTTGTGAGTGTTAATTATATTTCACATTGTTAAGAGATTTGTTTTATTTTGTTTGGCATTCTTTGTTGGTGTAAAAATACCTAATTAACTGTGTATAACTATAATTCAACTATCTGCACAAGAGAATATTAAATAATTGTTGCATCGTGCAAACTTAAAACTTGAAGAATTTTACTCTTGTGTTACAAAATGGGGTTTAAATAATTTCAGGTGACAAGAATGTTGGAATATTATCTTAATCGTTAATCTTGTTGTTCCGGTGATCACTGAGGTTGCCATGGTGGCGAGAGATGATCTTGCCATCTATGATTGTAGTATTACGTTGCTATGATGTATACAAACTACACAAAAGTATGGTGTTGCAAGTAAATAGTGCTCCTTCACTTGTAACTAGTGATGGTCGGATCCGGATATCGGACCACCGGATCCGCCGGATCCGAGCTAGAACCGGCACCGGATCGGATCCAAAAAATTCCGGATCTTGGGCTGGATCCGGTTTTGATGGATCCGATTTTTTCAAATTTTTCCCCGATTTTTTCCCAACACAAAGCTGTCTGTATCACTGTACAACCCCGATTTTTTTATCAACACAAAGCTGTCTGTATCACTGTACAACCCCGATTTTTTACTAACACAAAAAGCTGTCTGTATCACTGTACAACACCGATTTTTTTAACTAACACAAAGCTGTCTGTATCACTGTACAACACCGATTTTTTTACTAACACAAAGCTGTCTGTATCACTGTACAACCCCGATTTTTTTACTAACACAAAGCTGTTTGTATCACTGTACAACACCGATTTTTTTACTAACACAAAGCTGTCTGTATCACTCTACAACCCCGATTTTTTTACTAACACAAAGCTGTCTGTATCACTGTACAACACCGATTTTTTTACCAACACAAAGCTGTCTGTTTCATTCTACAACCCCGAATGTTTTTACTAGCACAAAGCTGTCTGTATCACTGTACAACCCCGATTTGTTTACTAAACACAAAGCTGTCTGTATCACTGTACAACCCCGATTTTTTTACCAACACAAAGCTGTCTGTTTCACTCTACAACCCCGATTTTTTACTAACAAAAAAAGCTGCCTGTATCACTCTACAACCCCGATTTTTTCCTGATTTTTTTACTAACACAAAGCTGTCTGTATCACTCTACAACCCCGAATGTTTTTACTAGCACAAAGCTGTCTGTATCACTGTACAACCCCGATTTTTTTGCCAACACAAAGCTGTCTGTATCACTGTACAACACCGATTTTTTTACTAAACACAAAGCTGTCTGTATCACTGTACAACACCGAATTTTTACCAACACTAGGCTGTCTGTATCACTGTACAACCCCGATTTTTTACTAACACAAAAAGCTGTCTGTATCACTGTACAACCCCGATTTTTTTACCAACACAAAGCTGTCTGTTTCACTCTACAACCCCGATTTTTTACTAACACAAAGCTGTCTGTATTCATGTACAAGCCCGGTTTTTCCCCGAGTGTTTGTCTCTTGATGCAAACAACTTATATGGCAAGGCCATGTCTCGATGTTTGTATCTAGATGCAAATAACTTGTATGGCAAGGCCATGTCTCAGTGCTTGCCTCTTGATGCAAATAACTTATATGGCAATGCCATGTCTCAGCGTTTGTCTCTTGATGCAAATAACTTAAATGGCAAGGCCATGTCTCAGTGTTTGTCTTTTGATGCAAATAACTTATATGGCAAGGCCATGACTCAGTATTTGTCTCTTGATGCAAATAACTTATATGGCAAGGTTATGACTCAGTGTTTGTCTTTTGACGCAAATAACTTATATGGCAAGGCCATGTCTCAGTGTTTGTCTCTTAATTCAAATAACTTACATGGCAAGGTCATGTCTTAGTGTTTGTCTCTTGGTGCAAATAACTTATATGTTTCAGTGTTTGTCTCTTGATACAAATAAATAACATACCACAATGGCATGTATCGTTCCGAACTGAATCTGACCCGATTTTTCGGATATCTTCACACCTCTAGTTTTTAGTTTTGTACCTGGATAATAAGCTAACGGCCTATAATTTCGTCTCAAAAATATCCCGTTATTATTTTAATCTCAACCGATGCTTCGTGATAAAAAATAATAAAAGTATGATTTAAATTGGCATTCTGTTAGTTACGTTTTTTTTTTTAACCCGCCCTTATGACAGTGTGTATCTGGATCCGAAGATCCGAAGATCCGGATCCAAATTTTTCAAGATCCGGATCCGGTACCGACATTTTCTTGGATCCGCCCATCACTACTTGTAACCATGTTAGACATGTTTTTAAACATTTTATATAAAATCCATAAGAGCAAACCGGTTGCAAAACACAGTAATTATGAAATTCAATTGGTACATTTTTTAAGTTCAGAGTCAAATTTAAAATTCCTAAGAATTTGTTATGTTTTTGCTGTTTCAGTACCACACTGATGTAGATGGAGGATTCAGCAGCTCTCTGGCCCTCAGTTTGATGCTGCTGCTGTTGATTGGAGGACTGCAGGCTGTGATATTACCTCGTACCATCATACTGTTGTTGCTGTTCCTTACTGCCTTTATTTGGATCTCGGTAAGTGATCAATCTATTATAATCAACTGATATTTTATAACTCAAGTACAGGGATATGTCAAACTCTATTACACGCTTACTTGGTAGTATGGAGCTCCCATAAGCCATGCGTGTCAAGCTGCAGTTTCAGCGACACTAGTCAGCCTGAAACATAAGGACCTACAAAATCCTACCAAACCACAAGGGATATGTATTTAGGAATAAACAAAACAAGAGTTGTCAATGAAAGAAAAAACATTCAAACCCATTAACTTGTGATGTTCCTGTTTTCTCCACCAGGTGGTGTTGATGCTGCTGCTGGCTGTGAGACTGAGGTGGATCCTGTGTGATATATCTCACAGTTTCTCCTTGAGGCTGGCTATCACAGTGTTCACCATTGTGTTGGTGTACACAGTCGCTCAGGTCAACGTGTTCACGTGTCGCACAGACACACCGTGTGTCCCACTCAACACTACACTACTCAACGGAGTTACCAGCGACCACCGTGCCTGCCCTCTCCCCCACTACATCGTTATATCCTGTTGTTTAGGTATGTATAATGTATGAAGTCCTTCATTTTGTAAACCTTCATAATTTTCCTTGATAAATTAATCCTTCCTCTATTTAGCAATAGTATTTTGAATTACTATACATAACAGGGGAGGGAGTAGGGTAACTATCTACATCATCATTACTCAATGCTCTAAAAGTCTAGAATTGTGACTGTGCATCGTTCATAGAATTGCATCACCGTAATTACTCATCCTTGACTAATTATCTAAAGGAGTTGTGTTTTTCTGTCTTGTCAGGTTACCTAGCTGTGGCTATCTTCCTGAGGCTGCCCATCCTCATCAAGTGTGGCCTGCTGGCTCTCATGGCCACTGTCTACATTCTGCTGATAGAGCTGAGCCATGCCAACGTCTTCCACTGTTTCGACATCAGAGTGCAGTTAGTATTGAATTAGCATATGGCATAACGAGATCTAGAATTAGTACTGGTTGTCAAAGGAGTACTAGTAAAAATAGCAAGAGAAAGGAGAACAAAGAGTATTTCTCACCAAGGGCAAATTACAGTATTAATATATCTTTTGTCACTCTTATTGTAGGAGAAAAAGATGGGTCTAACAAATATCAGATTTTATTCTCAAATGCACAAGTGTATTTTAAAGCTAATTCTATGAGATTTGCTGGATTTCAAATTCAACAGATGACAAATAGTAATCAATATTTTATTACATGCTGGTTCCACTCTCCTGTGGGCGATGCGCTCTGCTTGTTAAATATTTCCAAACCACCATTACCCACTTTTTAGTGCAATTTCTCACCAGTTTGAAACCTCATCACTAATGCAGTCTTGTATTGCAGGAGTGCGGTGCCGGTTCATCTAATAGCTGTAGTGCAGGTGCTCATGTTGTTGTTGGCTGTGATAATACACGGAAGACAGGTGGAGTGGACAGCTCGTCTGGACTTTCTGTGGCAGATACAGGTAAGCCTACAACACCTGCCTTGTATATCAATTATTTAAGATGAGGACGCAATTATGTGCATATTTCAACCCAAATATGAGTGAAAGATTGTAAGGTGCTACGGCGCGCCGGGGTCACGGCCTTCCTATCTGAGGCCTCTCCCGTACTACGCTCCTCTACCGTATCGCCTTACAAATAAAATGCTCGGAATCGCTCGAGTCGAGCTGGGAACCTCCAAGGTCCTTCCGCTACTCAATTTTGAATCTAACGTCTTTATTGTCTATTAAAGCTCAGAGTGACACCTCACCACAGGGGGTCAACGGTGTCATCACACTCATCATCGCTTTAATGATCACTTTTAAAACAATTGCCAACGCTGGGTGTTCCCGCGTGTCTCGTGCCAGGCTAATTCGCCGGTCTTAATCAAATTAACCGATGCAGTATGCTAATATGTCACCCTAACTGCCAGGCTAACTCGCCGGTCTTTCTAAAGTAAAATTGATTAAATAAACTAAACTAATTCCCTACTGGCCAGGCTAACTCGCCGGTCTTTCTAACATACAACAAATCAAATGAATCAAATAATTCCCTACTTGCCAGGCCAACTCGCCGGTCTTTCTAAAGTCAAATTAATTAATAAACTAAAATAATTCCCTAATGGCCAGGCTAACACGCCGGTCTTTCTACCCTACAACAATTTAATAAAATAAAATAAAACCCTACTTTGCCAGGCTAACTCGCCGGTCTTTCTAAAGTAAAATGATTAATTAACTAAACTAATTCCCTATTGGCCAGGCTGACTCGCCGGTCTTTCTAACCTACAACAGTTTAAATGAAATAAAATAAAATCCTACTTGCCAGGCTAACTCGCCGGTCTTTCTAAGGTAAAAATAATAAAATAAACTAAACTAATTCCCTACTGGCCAGGCTAACACGCCGGTCTTTCTACCTTACAACAATTTAATAAAATAAAATAAAATCCTACTTGCCAGGCTAACTCGCCGGTCTTTCTAAGGTAATAAAATAAACTAAAATAATATTCCCTACTTGCCAGGCTAACTCGCCGGTCTTTCTAAGGTAATAAAATAAACTGAAATAATATTCCCTACTTGCCAGGCTAACTCGCCGGTCTTTCTAAGATAATAAAATAAACTAAAATAATATTCCCTACTGGCCAGGCTAACTCGCCGGTCTTTCTAAGGTAAAATAATTAATAAACCAAAATATCTGAAATATAACTGCAAGGGCTTTACTTCACAAATAGTCTAAATTACACCATAGACTAAGCAACGTTTTATCTATGATTACACTTACAGCACTACTCGACTTGAGAGTAAAGACGGCCAACACCAGAGATACCAACTGGGACTTCAGTTGAGCTTCTTCACTATCTGACTTTGATCGTCTCAATTACTGATTTTCACTGTCTTCAGACGGCCCGCGGCTCTGGTTTTGTCAGCCGCAGGAGTAGCGAGCTCCAGCGGTGATATCACGGACTACTTCCGTGTTCAGCGGCCTCCAGCGGCCGGCGACGTAAGCTACTCGCTGTTATCGGGGTTGACCCTTGTCCCCAAACCAGCCTGTTGTCCGCGCCGCTAACACCTTTTGCTTGCGGTTGTAAATATCAACTTAGAGCTGGTCAAAATTTACAACCGTTACATCCCCTCCTGACTTTGTGGGAACAAAAAAGAAAATCAAGAAAAGAAAAAAAAACTTTTACTTCAAACAAAATAAACCCCAGTATACAAGCAAAACATGTCAATATCGCTGACCCCGTGAAAGATATGCCTTGGCTCGGTTCACATTCATCCGTTGGAAGGATCCATCAGGCATCCACACTTTCACTCTTTTGGGTCGGTATCTGTTCCCCTTCTGGAGCGAGGTATGTGGATTGATAACTATCTTCTGCTTTCCCTCTACGGCCGGTGCATTCATGGCTGTTGTAGGAGGTTCCCTCGCACTTTCAACCTCCTCGTTGGTTTCATCATCCATCTCGACGTCGGAAGTCGTCAGCAACAAACAATCATCGGAATCTTTGGGGTGATCCTCCTTTGGTGGATCCGTAGGTGGTCTCTCGGTGTAAGGAAGGGTGTTGGGAAGATCTTCCCTGGATGTTTTACGGGGTTTACTGAATTCCGGGATCATACGCTTGGATCTTGACATGCGGTTCAGCTCCTTATTGATGTCCTCTAATACTGGGTCACTGGGAATCACCACCTCGAGCTTGGACCCATTGTGGATGAATGTGCGTATCTTCACCAATGGTGTCGTCATCGGGGTGAATCGGATTCGATCGGTGATGGGTGGTTCCAGTAGCCGGAAATCTTCACTTTCAATTTTCCCTCTCCTGATTGCCGCACACATCTGTTTGCGCAACTCCTTAGGACATATCTGGACTGATGTGAGCTTTTCCTTACGTGCGATGATTTCAGCGAAAGCACAGACGAATATACCACAGTCCCACTTGTTTGTTTGTCGAGGGGTATCCGCGGGTGTCCCACAGATTAGCCACTCCACCGGATCAAGTTCTACCTTCTTTGCCTTGGCCTCCTCCTGTAAAAATGCCATCACAACTGTAGCATGCCACGGATAGTTTAGGCCTAGAGAATCGTACGTCGTAATATGATGTGTTTTGGTCCAAACTATGATCACCGACCAGTGGCCGGACTCTCCGATGTCGGGTGCATGTATAGGAAATATCAACAGATCTCTAGAGAAGATATTCGTTCCCTTGGTCCACTTCCTTACTTTTTCATAGTTCCCCCGTTTCCAGGCAGGAAAGAAGTAAGAGTCAAAAGCATATACCATGGGATACGAATCATAGTAGTGGCTTCTCCTTTCTATCAGTCTCAGATATGAATTTACGCAATTATCATTCAATAAGTTGGTTCCGTAGAAACAAGAGGAGTCCTTTGTGGAAGTTTGAATTAGTGGTCTCAAGGCATGCATGTTCTAAGTCACCGTTTCCACCCAGCAAACACGGAACCCTGGACAAAACAAACAATCTACTGGCACAAGCTCAAGCACATGCAATATATTCCCGCCACCAAGCATATTCTTAAATTATCTAACTACTTTGACTAATTTAGGGTCTACTGTTGCAGCTATATTTCAGATTTAGTCTAATGAAATGATTTAAGATCTTTCACGTGTACCGTTATCATCCGGTCTTTTGGCTTGTCTAAATTTCTCACGCGAAACAGATTATACCCTCTCTTTTGGATAATTTCGTAAGGTCCATCGAATTTGGGTGCTAATTTGCTGGAGAACATGTCAACGGCAGAGGATAGCGGATGGCTCCTTACCAAAACTCTTTGCCCTACAGTGAAAGGGTTCTCTCTTCGACGTAGGTTATAATACTTTGCTTGGCGATTGAAGGCTTTTCTTAGGTTGTCTTGACATTTATGATATAGAAGTCTGAACCTCGTCATACGTTCGTTGTGTTGAGTTTCTACTGTACCTGCTTCGCCACTATCACCCAATTCAAACGGCTCCTTATGCAATGCATTCGGCAAACGTAACTCTCGGCCGTAATTCAACATTGCGGGGCTGAACTGTGTCGATTCGTGTACGGCTGTATTAACAGCTAACATAAATTCCTTGAGGTGCATGTCCCAAGTGTTGTGGTTCTCACCAACATATTGTGCAATCATTGTCTTGATCACCCTGTTTTGTCTCTCCGTGGGGTTCCCTTGTGGACTATAGATGGCTGTGTATTGCAGCTGGACATCCCAATCCTTTGCTAGCTTTGCAAACATACTAGCCACGTATTGAGAGCCGTTATCAACAATCAGTGTATCCGGGCTACCATAGCGCAATAGTATGACATCACGGAATTGAGCCGACACATGTTGAGCGGTCGCGCTCCTTAGGGGGATTAATTCAGTCCATTTACTATAATAATCTTGGAATACCAACAGGTACTTGTTACCCTTCTTTGACCTGGGAAAAGGTCCCATCAGGTCAGACGTAACGACTCTCCATGGTCCAAAAGGTTTGCGAAAATGCATTTTTCCGTATGGTTGTTTTTGCTCAACCTTGTATCGTTGACATATTTCGCAACTCGAAACATATTTCTTGATATCCCGGTATAGTCCGGGCCAATAATACCTGGCGGTAATCCTTTTTACCGTCTTCTTATAGCCTAAGTGACCTGAAGTTGCATTATCGTGGTTCTCCTGAAGCACCTTCATTTTTAGGTCTTGTGGAACGCAGAGTTTCCACTCCATACAGGGGTCCGTTAGGTGTAATCCTCTTCTTCCCACTATCCTCTTGTACAGTTTGTCTCCTCTCATGGTAAAGTGCGGGTATCTGTTTGGACTATTAAGTAAGTTTTGACACATAGTGACGTACCATTTCCCTTTCGCACCGGCTTCTTCATCTGGTGTCGTCAAACTATTCCTATCATTGTTGGTCGTCATTGTCGAACAGCCCACTACCGGGTTTCGGGACAGCGCGTCCGCTACCTTGTTTTGTGTGCCTCGGCGGTATTTTATCTCAAAACTGTACTGTTGCAGCTCTAAAATCCACCGGGCTAGTCGGCCTGACGGCTGCTGGAGGTTCATTAACCATTTCAAGGCCTGATGATCCGTAACCGCCACAAAATTATACCCTTCTAGATACGGCCTGAACCTTTTTACAGCCCATACTAGGGCCAGACATTCCAGCTCAGTAACTGTAAATTTCTTTTCATTGATGCTTAGAAGACGACTTGCAAACGATATGACTACTTCCCTCCCATTTACAGTTTGAGTCAGTGATGCTCCCAGGCCTTCTCCTGATGCATCCACCTGGACAGTGAAAGTTTTTGAAAAATCTGGACAGGCCAGGATTGGCGCTGTAGTGAGCTTCTCTTTGAGGCTTCTGAATGCCTCTTCTTGAGGTACTTTCCACTCCCACCGTTGATCCTTCTTAAGTAATTTAGTCAAAGCGGCTGAGGTTCTTGCGAAATCCCCGATGAATCTACGATACCAGCCCGCCATGCCTAAAAAGCTCCTCAGGGTTTTAATGGTCGTTGGTTTGGGGAAATCTACGATGGCACGCACCTTCTCTGGGTCCGTCTGAATACCATACTCGTTGATCACGTGTCCCAAATACTTCAGTTCCTTTTTGCAAAACTGACACTTCTCTAAGTTAATCTGAAGGCCAGCTCCTCGAAGGCGCTCAAACACATCACCTAACAGTTCTAAATGTTCATCAAACGTTGTAGAAACTAGGATTAAGTCGTCCAGATAGGCGAACACTTTAGGATCCAACTCAGGTCCTACGACCTCATCTAATAATCTCTGGAAGGTTGCCCCAGCCGAATGCAGTCCGAACGGCATCACCGTAAACTGGTATAATCCTTTTCCCGGCACCGTAAACGCTGTGAGAGGCCTGCTATCCTCTGTTAGTGGCACCTGCCAGTATCCTTGTTTTAGGTCAAGTGTTGAAATGTATCTTGCCCCCCGTAGCTTGTCCAGTATAGCGTTAATCTGTGGAAGTGGGTAAGCATCTCGTTCAGAATGAGTATTCAACTTCCTCAAGTCCACCGCTACGCGAAACTTTCCCGAAGGCTTCTTTATCATGACGATGGGTGAGCTCCATCCGCTTTTTGAAGGTTCTATAACCCCATCCCTTAGCATATTCTCAATCTCATTATTTAATATGTCTTGCATCATTGGATTTCGCGGATAGTACCTTTGCTTTATTGGCGTCGTACCTGCCTTCAGTTTAATAGAGTGGGATATACGATTGGTTCGTCCCAATTTGTTTCCAAAACGGGGCAACTCTTTCCCTAAAAACTCATCCAGCCTAGCCTGTTCTTCGTCCGTCAAGGCGGACAATGCACATGTCTCCGGACTCTGTACGTCTGTGTCTCCCTGCTTCGCACTCTTTGATCCCCACACTTCATGATCTGTCAGCAACCATCTGTTTTCTTTAATTACATCCATCCCGATTATGAGATCCTGTGATAACGTTGCGACATAAGCAGCGTGGAATTTTACCTCCCTGTCATTTACCGTCCCTTTAAACTCGTATAAGCTCAAAATTTTTGACTCAGATCCATCTGCTAAGAGCATTTTGATCGCAGTGGGACGACCTTGCACCCCTATCTTCTCCAAATGTTCAGCCAATTCCTTGCCAATTACAGATACCATAGCCCCTGTGTCTATCAATGCGTTCACCGGTTTTTCTTTTACATTAATTTGTATATATGGTCTATCATCGTTACAGAGTACATTCTTTACGTACAGACCCCTGGTCGCTTTGATCGTATTCAACCATGTATTCCACTCGGTGGAGGTCGTGCGACTTCGGTTTTGGGGGTGCTCGTTCGACCTCCTATTTGTGGAGCACCCGATCCGTTTCCCGACCTACACTCGCAGGTTGACGTCCACTGGTTTTCCTTTTTACAATAGTAGCACCTAAGTTGTTTTTTCTTTTGGCAATCCTTGAATATATGTCCTCTTTCAGAGCAGTTCCAGCATATCTGTGTATTGCTGAACTCCCTATCTGTTCTTCCGTTATTTACAACTGTTTGGGGAATCCAAGTTCTCTCTCTGCCCTCTTGATAATTTCTCCTATACATCAACGGGCGAAACTGTTTACCCCTCGATGGATCCACATAACTGAGATTCTCACTTTTCCTTCCATATTCATGTTGACCATCTACGTTTATTGAGGCTGTTTCTTGGTAAACTGCTGGTCCTCTTCTAGGGTTATATGCAGTTTCGCTGATTAATGCTTGAGCCGGGTTTGGAGGTGGTCGATAATCTCGCTTTTCTCTCAAATAGGTCTCATAATGTTCAGCGTGTTGGGTAAGTTCACCTAATGTTGAAAAATCCTCCCTCCTGATGGTCAACTTGTAATCTGGTCTCATGTTGTTGTACAGCAGATCAAGTTTTTCGATCGGGTGGAAGCCTCCTCTTCTTCTCATCAAGGTCATAAGGGCGATGACAAAGTCCCGAAACGTCTCACGGTCGCCTTGAGTTCGTCTCCTTAACTCGTCGTCAAGCTTCCTCTTGTATCCTGGGGGCCAAAACTGCAATTCAAAATCTTTCCTAAATTCCTCATAAGTGTTCCAATACTCCTTGTTATTTCTGTGCCACAAGAGAGCATTCCCATGAAAAATCTCAGGCATAGCTCTGATGACATCGCATCCTCTTACCCCGTATGCTTCCATTTTCTCTTCCAATTTCTCTATAAAAGACACGGGATCTTTTCCACCGTCAAAATGTATATTCCACTTTCTAACAGTATTGCAAACTCTCGCCGTATCTGACACATCGTCACTTCCGACGCCTGTTCCAGAGGCATCCATGATTTCTGTCCTATTACCAACTCTTTCTGATTGTGCTGTATTTTCGTGGAGTACAGCCATACATTTTGGTCTAGTATTTGTATCTTTTAGTGACGAGTGTACCCTACCCAGCCGAAAGTCTGACGTGTCTCTCGAGTGGTGAAGATCTGTGTTTTCGGCTGTTATCGTTGCATTTATTCCCTGTTTTCCACGTACTAGGTTATGCAATGCTTTCCTGATAGTATATAATCCTGCCCCTGATGGCAGTCCCAGGATTTCTGTTAAATTCAGTGTCTCTATTTCTTCCAAACTATTGCCTCGGTACTCCAACCGATAGTCAACTCCATCAGCTCCTTCCGCGTCCGTGTGAACGATCTGTTTATCATTCGTCTCATTACGGCCTCTTTGGTCTTGTTGTACGTAGTCGTCTGACTTGGTAGCGTTGTTCCTCCAGAAACTAACGAATCGTCTTCGTAATTCATCAGTCGTTCCCCTAGTATTCAATCCCTTTTTCGCCATTTCTGATTGTAATAATGATTTATTTAGCCGATAAATCCATCCCACAGTCGGGTCATCTTCTGTCGGGGAAATTATATGTCCTGTATTCGTAGGTACCTGTAGTGACAGAGCCTTTGACGCAGTGTTCTGTGGTTCCAAAGTACCTCCGCCCCCTGCTTCAGTGGTCAGATCTAGTAGATGACTGGTGTCGGTGTTTAAGCCCTTACTCGAATCATTTTCGGATTTTCCAGAAATGTCTGTAGTTTCTTGGTTCTCAGTTCCGCTCGTACCACTCTTATCGGAGCGTGGTAAAATACCAAATGTCCTTAAGCAAAGGGAAAATGGTCGGAAGAATCTTCCAAACAAAATGTTGTCTTCCAGAAAGTCCATGCTAAAAAATTTAATCTAATTTCAATGACAAGCGCACTTCAATGTCCTTTTGTTCGGGCGCCAAATTGTAAGGTGCTACGGCGCGCCGGGGTCACGGCCTTCCTATCTGAGGCCTCTCCCGTACTACGCTCCTCTACCGTATCGCCTTACAAATAAAATGCTCGGAATCGCTCGAGTCGAGCTGGGAACCTCCAAGGTCCTTCCGCTACTCAATTTTGAATCTAACGTCTTTATTGTCTATTAAAGCTCAGAGTGACACCTCACCACAGGGGGTCAACGGTGTCATCACACTCATCATCGCTTTAATGATCACTTTTAAAACAATTGCCAACGCTGGGTGTTCCCGCGTGTCTCTTGCCAGGCTAATTCGCCGGTCTTAATCAAATTAACCGATGCAGTATGCTAATATGTCACCCTAACTGCCAGGCTAACTCGCCGGTCTTTCTAAAGTAAAATTGATTAAATAAACTAAACTAATTCCCTACTGGCCAGGCTAACTCGCCGGTCTTTCTAACATACAACAAATCAAATGAATCAAATAATTCCCTACTTGCCAGGCTAACTCGCCGGTCTTTCTAAAGTCAAATTAATTAATAAACTAAAATAATTCCCTAATGGCCAGGCTAACACGCCGGTCTTTCTACCCTACAACAATTTAATAAAATAAAATAAAATCCTACTTTGCCAGGCTAACTCGCCGGTCTTTCTAAAGTAAAATGATTAATTAACTAAACTAATTCCCTATTGGCCAGGCTGACTCGCCGGTCTTTCTAACCTACAACAGTTTAAATGAAATAAAATAAAATCCTACTTGCCAGGCTAACTCGCCGGTCTTTCTAAGGTAAAAATAATAAAATAAACTAAACTAATTCCCTACTGGCCAGGCTAACACGCCGGTCTTTCTACCTTACAACAATTTAATAAAATAAAATAAAATCCTACTTGCCAGGCTAACTCGCCGGTCTTTCTAAGGTAATAAAATAAACTAAAATAATATTCCCTACTTGCCAGGCTAACTCGCCGGTCTTTCTAAGGTAATAAAATAAACTGAAATAATATTCCCTACTTGCCAGGCTAACTCGCCGGTCTTTCTAAGATAATAAAATAAACTAAAATAATATTCCCTACTGGCCAGGCTAACTCGCCGGTCTTTCTAAGGTAAAATAATTAATAAACCAAAATATCTGAAATATAACTGCAAGGGCTTTACTTCACAAATAGTCTAAATTACACCATAGACTAAGCAACGTTTTATCTATGATTACACTTACAGCACTACTCGACTTGAGAGTAAAGACGGCCAACACCAGAGATACCAACTGGGACTTCAGTTGAGCTTCTTCACTATCTGACTTTGATCGTCTCAATTACTGATTTTCACTGTCTTCAGACGGCCCGCGGCTCTGGTTTTGTCAGCCGCAGGAGTAGCGAGCTCCAGCGGTGATATCACGGACTACTTCCGTGTTCAGCGGCCTCCAGCGGCCGGCGACGTAAGCTACTCGCTGTTATCGGGGTTGACCCTTGTCCCCAAACCAGCCTGTTGTCCGCGCCGCTAACACCTTTTGCTTGCTAACGGTTGTAAATATCAACTTAGAGCTGGTCAAAATTTACAACCGTTACAAGATGAGTGGCGCGATCTTGTAGTATTGTTAGTGACTAAGGCCGACATGTTCCTTAGACACAGCTGTTAATTAATATCCCATACAGCCAATGGCAACTAAGGACCTACAGTTTATAGTGGAATCCGAACCACATTTTTTCATTGTAAGACGAATTGGTCTAATTATCAGGATAGTACTGAGGATAGTTGTAGTACACACTAGTCCGGACGTTAATCCACACCAGGGAGCATCGCATCCACAGTGCATGCTTATAAATATCCACAATTCGTGACCTTCTAGTAGCTGGATTACAGGAGGACGCCACCGTCCCAGTCAATATATATAATTTGGCATTTGAAAACTACAGGTTAAAGTTAAGGATTAAAATTGTACAAATCCCATTTCCGTATATTTACTCTCACCGCTTACACATGATAAAGGTTGTTGACAAACTTATGGGAGGAAGTATGTGTCAGAATGCTGATACCGTTTATTTGGGAATATGATACTGTTTTCATTGATAAATTATTACCGATAAATATTGGGATGCAATTGGGCATATTTCAACCGACATATCAATGGAGTTAGAGGCCAACGGTTTTTTATTAAGCTAGGACTATTTATTTCAGCCCAATAATCTTGGACAATTAGGCCAGGTTTCTTTTAAGATCTAAAGCTACTGACTTTTCACAGGATTGATCTGACAACCTTTTTGATAACCAGGCAAACAAGTAATCACAAAGCTATATTTTCATCTTGAATAAAATATATGTACCATTCAATTTCATTAAAAATTGTTTATGATCAAATTCCCAGGTCCTGAAAAATATTTCAAAACTAGGTTTATTTATGACAAAACGCTTTTTCCGCTACAAAAATTATTTACCGATATCTTAATTAGAATTGCCAGTTACAAAAGTTTTACTTTAGAGTTGTATGTTTAATGTTTGGCTTGTTGCAGGCGTCTGAGGAGAAGAGAGAGATGGATGCTTTACAGCATAGCAACAAGAGGATATTGTTTAACCTACTACCAGCACATGTGGCCACTCACTTTCTGGACAACCAGTTCAGAAGCAACATGGTAAGTCACCTACAAGATAACAAAACCCCCATCAGACTCTAACTCAAAGAGTTCAGAGTTTCGGGCTGTCTGAGTCATCAGTTGGGGGAAAATAAACCAATCTGTAGGTAGTAGCAGAAATAATTCATGCCCCAACTACTTGAGTAAAGAATGAAAAATTATTTAAATATTTGTTTGAATAAAAAAAAAACAATTGGCTTGTTAAGATTTGTTTAAGGATAGGCTAGCTTACCTGAAAAATAGAGTCCAGGGCCTTATAGATACAAAATTGTTGTACACTATTAAAAGTACAGATAGGAAAAACAGTAGGACCTACTGAGTTTTAAGTACGGTTACCTTTGGGATCCAAATCAAACCTATCTGTTTGTCAGCGGCAGATCTATTATGCCCCATTGCTTCTATTCTCCAGTCAAAATGAAAACATCTTTCAACCTTTTTTTCAAATTAACACTTTGTTTTCTAAACAGGAGAAAGATTCTTATACTTGAGGTTACATTTTTCAGTTTTGAAAAGGCTATTTAGCGGAATTTCTTATTGTGAGGTTTAAACCGTAATTTTCATTAATCATTTGAAATCTCTAAAGATTACCCAGTTAAATATTAGCAGCTGTACATTGTTTGGATGTACATTTTTCTCTTTTATGATTTTACACAAAAGATGACAACTAATTTTATTGATCATTGCTCTTTCATAAATATGTTGACCTTATCTTCATATTACTACAACGAGTTAGAGAAAATTATTTGTGGTAAAAGTATTTTGTGAGTCAAAGTAATAGTTTTAATTCATAGTTTACTTTTCATCACTTAATTTGGCTGGAACGTAAGGTAAGATATTGTGTTTTTAAGCCAATTGCTAGCTTAAATAGTTGGCTTAGATTCTGTACTAGTGTGGCTATTTGTTCAAAATATACCTTGCGACTTAACTATCAAACTAAAATCTCAGCAACTTTTTAATTTATACCATATTTGTGGTTAAAAATAATATAAGATTCTTGATAGAGATTATGTATTTCAAATAAATTTTCTTTCATAAAAATACATTATGATTAGAAAACTGAGTATTTTTTAACAAGAATATCTCTTGGTGAAAAAAAATGTTGTGAGGCTATTTTTCTATTTGTGGCTTGATTTAGTATGTGTTTGATGCTGATCATTGCTCTTGCTGTAGTGTGTGGCTAAGCCATTGAGATTTAGAGTATTTCCCTTTTGTGAAGTAGATATTGCTGTAGTTTACATGAAACCTAGAATAGAAGCAAAAAATACTACAGGCGCTGACAAAAATTCTTCAATTTTGATGAAATTGGGATCAAAACTGAAGAGCAACACCTATTCAACACGGTTAACCAAGCTATAATTTTAGTTGTTACATGACAACATTGTCAACAGTTTGTAGAAAATTCGAAGGAGAGATAAAGATATTTTATTGCAGAGGTTTCCAAAAATAATTGACATTTTCAAAAATATTGGCACTCCATTTAATTCAAGAACAACCAACATAAGTCATGCACTCCAAGTACAAAATTTTAAGTGCCGCCATGAACGTAGATTGTGTCAAACACGGCAGGCAACAACTAAAGCCCTGAAGCTGTACTTCAATGATGTGTCTTGCACAACTGTAAGTTGTGGCATAAAAAAAATAAAAGATGCAGTGCTTGGGCTTCTCAAGCTACTATCAACTACAAAACTTAATTTTCAAAATATTTTGACAATCTTTTTGTAAAAAAAGTCCCAAAATACTGCTAAAGGTAAAAATATAGCTCAAATAGCTATAAAAATAGTGTACTCAGTGTGAATAGTGGCTAGTGGCTAGTAGAGTAGTGTGCAGTGGCTGTGGCAGTAGCAGTAGTAACGCATACTCTGGATGTGGTGTTGGCCACCAGAACACTCTGTCACAGGAGCTGTACCACCAGTCGTACAACAGAGTGGGAGTCATGTTCGCCTCCATCACCAACTACCACGAGTTCTACATGGAGCTGGACGGCAACAACCAGGGCGTCGAGTGTCTGCGGCTGCTCAACGAGATCATCGCTGACTTTGACGAGGTATGAAGACTTTAGTTATTCATATTTGTAGCAGTTATCTTGATCCTCCTAACAAAACTCGTCAAACATCGTCAAGCTAAAAAGTTTTAAGTGTTGTCGTGTTTTTTTTTAGCTCATTTTAGCTCAACAATATCATCGCCGATTTTTACAATACAAGAGTCGTATCACTGGTTTTAATTTATTCATATAGCCCAATGATTGAGTGATATGACAAAAAAATTTTAAAACCTAGAATCGTCAAACAATCTTCGGCATTAGTTAAGTAGATGGTTGTTATCTTGCTACTTAGAAATTGTAGGGTTAGTCGTTTTTGTTGAGGTTTAACAAAATCTATATTTTAAATAGTTTTTATGAGAATTTTTATGTTTCAAACTCTATATTCTCTCTTAAATAACTTACTTACTTACTTACTTACTGCCGTGGCTCTTGGTACCCAAGGTGGTACTTTGCCTCGCCAACACACTGCCTCCAGATTTTTCTATCCATTGCCTCATCTTCCCTTCTTCCCAGTCTTCTTAGGTCTTTTCTAACCTGGTCTCGCCATCTCAACTTGGGCCTTCCTGGTGGTCTTCTGCCCTCCGGATTGTTCAAAAGGACGTTCTTGACTAAGGAGTCGTCCTCTTTCCTTAGTAGATGGCCAGCCCATCTCATTCTCCTACCTCTCACCTCGGCCACTATGTCTGGGTCCATATATAATTGCCTCAACTCTGCATTGTGTTTTATCCTCCACTCTCCATCTTCAAAGGTTGGACCATATATTTTTCTCAATATTTTGTTCTCAAATACTATCAAACGTTTTTCTGTTTTTTTACTTAACACCCAATTTTCTGAGTTGTATAACAGAACTGGTCTTATAATGGTTTTATATATACGGAGTTTTGTTTTGTGTGATAGTATTCGAGAGCTTAATAGTTTGTGGGATGCTGATAGACTTCTGTGTGCTGCATTTATTCTTTGTTGTATTTCCATATCTTCTTCATTATTATTCGTCAGCATTACTCCCAAATAAGTGAAGTTGTTTACTTTTTTAAAGTTGTACCCTTCTATTTCTATATTGTTGTCATTGTTTATTTGGGTTGCTCTCCCACACTCCATTATTTTTGTTTTCCCTTCATTTATTCTTAAACCAACTTTCTTTGTATGGTTTAGGAGTTTTGTGACCAGCATTTTCAACTCTTCTTTACTCTCCGCTATAATTACAACATCATCTGCAAATGCAAGGACGTTTATTTTGGTCCCTATTGTAATTCCAGCTTCTGTTTGTCTTACTTCTTGTAGTGCTTCCTCTAAAGCTAAATTAAATAGCAATGGGGACAAACCATCCCCCTGTCTTACGCCTGTGCTTACATCAAACTTTTCTCTCTTAAATAACACCTCTACAAATTCATTGGCAACATAATTGCATAATGTATTGTTTTGGCCTTTGCTAATTTTCTGTTTATTTCACTTTAGTTAAACCCTAGTCATTGGTGAAGTATACTGTTTTAGTTATTCTTTATGACACACATATACTGAATGAGCAATACAAATAAAATATTGATTTATATTTGTTTCAGTTGCTGGGAGAAGAAAGGTTTAGAGCCATAGACAAGATCAAGACAGTCGGGTCCACATACATGGCAGCTGTGGGACTGATGCCTGAGTATCGCATACTGGACGACCAAGTCTCCGCTGGTAATTGAAGTTATTAAATTATTAATTAACACACATTGTTGGATACAGTTTTGCAATAAAATAGTAACAGGTGTCTTTTCAACTTTAAATTATGTCACTTAGAGGCAACAGTTTTCTATTAAGTTCATAGGAGAAAAACATTTATAATAGGCCTAGCAGGTGAGTCATGACTTAAAAATACGCTAAAATTTTTCTTAAATGTTTTTATGCCCTCATACGTGTATGTGGTGTATTTTAAAAAACTTTCACAACCTCAGAGATGAAGATTATTATCGATAGCCTAATGTTCTACTTCAGAATGAACCTCTAGGCTTAGAACCATTGGTCATCACTAATACTAGGATGACCTGATAGGATTGCAGGTATTTTAATATTGATGTGTAGCACTATTAATCCAATTTATACAGTTAGATTGCTGAGTGATTTTAGTGCTCCGCTGCCAGTTAAAAGGTTGCAAGTTTTATTTTGGCCAGTCAGAAACATTTTGACGGTTTTCACCTTGTCCCAGCTGTTTTTTATCATTGGTTTTTCAATAAATGTTCCTAGCTAAATATAAACTAGTCTTAGTCAGCTACAAAGCTACACATAGCATCACACTCAATTCTACACTCATCCTTACTCAATCAGTATTTAATCTTTTTGATAGCTGCTAAGTCTCAAGTTGTTGTGGCAGGAATCCACCTGTCAGCACTGGTGGAGTTTGTGTTCGCCATGCGGGACAAACTGGTCTGCATCAACGACAACAGCTACAACAACTTCATGTTGAGAGTCGGCATCAACATCGGCCCCGTAGTGGCGGGGGTCATTGGGGCCCGCAAGCCTCAGTACGACATCTGGGGCAACACTGTCAACGTGGCTTCTAGGATGGACTCTACTGGACTGCCTAACCACACCCAGGTACACAACACACTCATGTCGTTGGGCTGAAAGAATGTATTTATTGTTGTCAGATCAAAACTCAAACAAATTTAATCCCTTAATAGCTACAGTAAAAACTTTATGTGAGTCGATTTGACGCTTCACTATGCAGACTAAATTGGCTTTTTCAGTGGTATCCGTTATAGTTGTTTGTGAGTACACCAGATTGTGGATGCATGTTTCTTGTCGCTCATTATTTATTTTTTGCAATTTCTTGGTTATTACAGTGGTTTTTAATGCTCAGTAACACATACATCATTCTTGATTTCATGGTTAGATTTATGTAAATATGTCATTGTTTTATTTTTTAATCTGTTTTCATCCAAACATTTAAATCGCCACCCAAGTGGCAGGGAACTAAAAATTTATCATAATAAAAATTACTTAAGAGTTGATCATTGCATTTGTAGGAGTAGTGCCAAGAATTTATGTGGTAGTTGAAAAATAACTCAGTATTCTGCTTATTCGTTTGCAGGTCACAGAAGAAGTTTATCAAGTGTTGCAGAATATGCCGTACGAGTTCCAGTGTCGAGGCAAAGTGAAGGTGAAAGGCAAGGGAGAGATGACCACGTACTTCCTGACAGACAGGAAACAGCCTGGAACTATCAGGGTAGAGGATCTGACCAGCCTACGAGGAGGTGCTTCTATAGGTGAGTATGTAGAGACAAGTAAAGTATCCAATGAGCTCTCATTGCGAGAGAGCTAGTCAGTAGTCAGATCAAATCTGAAACTAGCACTGTGTTCTTTAGTTCCCCCACCATTATTCTAGCCAGACGCCAACTCTACACTCATAGTTAACGTTGGAAGGGAAAGTTGCATTTTCTGTACTTTCAGGTACGGGAAAAGTATAATAATGCGAAGCTGCTTGTAGTGTATAGGTATTCACACAAGTATGTTACAGGTACAATGTACGGCGGAGTAGCCACACCTCTGGCGTTCCTACACCAACAGCTGCAACAGTCTGGGGAGAGACTCAAGTCTCGGCCCCGCCATACCCCCCACCACAACCCCCACCCTGAGACTGAGCCACTGCTGCCCACGCCTCGGCAGCCACGACCTCTGCCTCCGCAGCGGGGTATCACACAGGTCTTCCCACCCCTGTCACAAACCAACAGGTTCTCTTAATTATTGATATTTCTTTTTAATGTCAAATCATTAATGAATGAAATTAACTATACAGTAGAACCCCTCATATCCGACCTCCGAATAACCGACTCATCGGGATATCCAACCTAGTGCCCGGCCGTCTACTTGTTTCCTGTCTGGGGCAATAACGCCTAGCGCGATCGGTTAGTCAATGGGCCGATCGCGGATATAGCCGTAATCGTGGCAGTTTTGACCATGGCCCGATCCCGTCATGGTCGTATATGAGGGGTTCTGCTGTATCCTTATTCCAGCAGTATACATAATAGAAATGTACAAATCTGACTCAATTTAAAAAAACACATAAATGTGAAATTAATTTTAAAATGAATAAAACTAATGGTAAATTTTACTTCTATGCCTTGGTAAGTAAAATAAAATGGCTTAGAATAATGTATACTCAATTCATTTGTCAGAATAAGCAGACATGGACAACGAGCCTATTTGTTGACTGAGGTTGTGTCCAAAAATTTACTACTGTATTTGATATACTGTTTTTTTTTTTTTTAAATATGAAAGAGATAAGTTAATTAATGATGAAATATGGGTGAAATTTAATAAGATGAATAAATGGTAAACAAGTTTGACAGTACTTAAACACTACTTGACAGTAAAGTAATTTAAACTTTACATCCTAATTCTTAGTTTTACAACTGCAATGAATAATAAAACTAACTCCTAATAATAAATACATATTGATTAACTGTACAAATAATAATCTTAGATATCTGACTTTCATATAGTCAATAACATGACTCTCAAATCGTATTTGGTTTTGAGGAACAAGCAATGAATAACTAATCTACTTACAGTTTCAGTAATTATTTATAATGCAAAGAGCAATAAATTCAAGACTGTTTCAAAACACTCTTACCACACTGGCAACTTTACTTGGAATCAGACCAGTTTTGAGTTGGCAGAATAGAATGAAAACATTTCTACCATTATGTTGTCCACGAGGTAATCTTTGGGTCAGTCAATTAGGGCTGAGATCTTGGCTGCAAACTGTCTATTCAATGAAATCCTAGAATGACAATGTTCCAGGTTAAAATTAAATAATTTTCTTCAGTGCAAGGCAAAGGCAACACCAAACATGACAATGCTTGACGTATGTGTAATTATTAAGTTTGTAAATATCTCCGTTGAGCATACAATGCAATTATCGCTGTTTTAGATAAATAAATAGATATATCAGGTATTTACCAAATTAATTTATGGCATTCTGAATTACTCGGTATTCAATTTAAAGCTCAGGTGAACCTAAATGTGAATCTCGATTTTAAATCCCCTAAAAAACTGTTGATAAACAATAACCATCCAGAATGTTTCAAGTTGTTGACTATTTATTTTTAAACGACCAATAATAAAGTGTTAATAATAATAGTTAACTTTCTTTCAAAGATCTGATTTTATTTAATATTGATATGACGCTCACATTTCTGTAAGAAATTTTTAAAGACCTGCAAAAAATGTTAACTTTTTAACACGTTTTTTCATGTAGATCAAATTTTCCAGATATATTCCACCATGGCCAAGAGGCAACTCCAACACAAACGAAACCGCTTCTCGTAACCACAACAACAACATGAGTCAAAGAAGGCAACAGGAGAACTCTAGGCATCAAGAGAACTCGAGACTTCAGGAGAACTCAAGAAACCAAGAGACTTCCAAACATCAGGAGATGGCGAGACAACAGAACTCTGCAGCTCCATACATGAAACCTCTGCCCAAGCCTCCTCCTCGAGCATCACCAGCTCATCGGCCGAGGCAAGGTCCTCCCTGGCTACAGCGGCACTACAGTGATGAGAGTCTGCAGGGCTCCGGCCTCCACTGGTCTGGTAACACAAGAGTACACTCATCTGCTGATGAGATTAGTTCTCTCAACCACTCCCCCAGCATCAGCTCCTCTGATGAGAGTTATAGTAGGACTACTGACGCCTCACCTTCCCCCTCCCCACCACCCACGCACCAACCACACAACAATCTACAGCAATGGCTGTTCCCCTCAGACATCCAAGTAAACCCGTGTTCCTCACCTGAAAACTCTCCTCGCGCTTCCTTAGACTATATTCCACCCCAGTGTTATCTTTCCTCAAACAACAACCCTCCTGAAGTTACCAAAACGCCCTTACACGACACCACTCCTAGTTTACCGTCTTCACGAAGTTTCTCACCTGGGAAAAACGGCAACAACAACGGAAGTCGCGGTAGTGGACGGAGTTCGAAAACGAGAGACTCGCCGAGAAACATCCACCGGAGTAATTCTAGTTCGACAAGTTCTAGAAGGACTAATAATTCGGATAAAATTCCGTCTTCGGCTTTAATCGCTTTGGCCGCTTGTGGCGAAAGCACTCTAGACTCTCACGGGGTGCAGACTGTAGATTCGTATAGAGGAGAATCGTGCGGTAGTTTCGAATACCAACGGGCGAGTAAACACAGAGCCAAAAGAATGACGGGTAGCTTAGACAAACACCAAGAGAAACCATTGAAAGAAAAAGCGGAAAGTGGCGAAACAACGAGTTCTAGTGCGAAGTCTTCTATGAAAAAAGACGGTTCAAGTCAGACTGATTTGAAAATGCCGGTTGTGTCGGAGAAATCTGCCTCAACGCCAGGTTCGGACAATCCAGTGGTGGACTTTGAACGTCAGATTCGTAAACTACTGGACGAGCAGAGTATGTTGCGTCCGACGCCGCAGCAGGAGCCCGCAGCAAGGTTTGTACCGCAGCTAACCTCACAGTTTGTTGCTCCTAGTCTCGCCTCCATCACTGAGAGAGCTCTGTGGCAGGAGAAGAGTTTAGGACTTAATGAGGAAACACTTAAACCTCAATCACCTTTCAAACCTCAATCACCATTTGTTGTCAGGTAAGTACCTTTTTTTGTTTGTTATTTTTAGTTTGTTATTTTTCACTTTTTTATTAAAATTTTACATTTATTTCTAAACATAAACTCTATTAGGAACTTTCTTCCAATTCTGATGAATTCAATTATGAATGAGTACCGTTTCCGACCAACAAATTGATGATATTGTTCAAAGTTATGCAAGCATTCTTTTGTGTCGTTTTAATCTAATACTAATGTGGACACAAAATGCTAATTAACAGAGCTTATTCCACAATTCTAATTAATGTTAATTGACAAGTTTAACACCCAAATATGCAAAATATACTAGTCTAGTCTGACAAATATAATTTTATTAATTTCATATACTTTTTTTTTACTCAACCATTTTAAGATGAGCAATGTAAACCAAAATTCATTTTTATGTCGTGTTTTTTGTTTAAAAATTTTAATTTCAAGGATATTTTGTTTGTTTTGTTTCTTGTTTACTAACTTTATACTAACATTTTCTGCAAAATCCTCACTCTCTAGAACAGGGTTTTAGGTTGTATTAATTTTTTATTAATCATCTGCTCAATCCATTTCATAATGATTTTCTCTTAATTAATTACTATAATTCAATGTTGTTTTCTTTTGTTCACACATTTCTGTGGTTTTATTTTAAGTTATAATTAAAAGTTCAAGAGAGTGAGGATAAGTTGTGACTTTCTTTCTTCCTGTTGGGCCTGTCTACACTTGCCGTCTGTTGGTATGTACATCTTCTTCAGTAAACTGTAATTTTGTGTTGTTTGTGTACTTTCTTGTGTGCTTGAGAACTTCTGTCTTTGACCCAACATTTTCTTTGACCTAAAACTTAAAATCTGAAAGTTACATGAGGATACTGTAGAACCTTGATGAATGGAGTAAAGATTAACCAGATTATGTACTGTCTATCCATGGCCAAGAATTTACAATGATACTTATTTATAAATATTTTAACCAAAGAAAATTGTATGGTTATTGACAGATAATACAGATCCATTTTGTAAAATGCCTCAACATATTTTATTACTCTGGTCTAAAATTGATGACAAAACAATGATTCTTTAGAATTTTAGTTTAACTGAAGTTTTAGTTACTTGTATCCTCGCCTTTACCTGATTAAAACAGATTTAATCACAAAATGTGAGATATTGTTACTAGATTATAAGGTATGTTTGTTACCTTGTATTCTAGCACAGAGAAAATGTTGGTAGAAAATACAACAAACTTGGAGCCTTAGTTTTTTTTACATCTTTCACCTGACTATATTTCTGACAATTAAGGCTCGTTCACACGGTGCGAGTTTACAAGCTACTCGCCGGCGTGTAAGAAGCTGGCGAGTTGGCGAGTGTGCTTGTATTTGTTCACACGGAGCTTGTCCACTCGCCAACTCGCAGACGTGTAGTAAGACGTCGGCGAGTACGCTTGTAGTCGTTCACACGATGCTTTTTCCACTCGCTCAGTAGCTAGCTTGAACCGAATCCTCCAACATCTTTGAATAACACGGGCACAAGCACAAGCAACTGTGTTCACACTGGGCGACTTTACATGCCTACTCGCTCAAAAGCTAGCGAGTTGGCGTGTAAAGTAGCGGCAGCGTCAACTTTTTCCAGAGCTTTTTTACAAGCAGCTTTTGAGCGAGTACGTCGTTCACACTGAGCTATTTTTTTAGCTGTGTGTAAAAAAGCCGGCGTGGAGCTTGTAAACTCGCCCCTTGTGAACGGGGTTTTAAGATGTATAAGATTTACGACTATTGTCTTAAGCTGTTCTTGCTGTCTCACTGTTAACTTATGCATGCCTTCTAAAATGTGTTAAACTTATTTAGCTAGTAGTGTACTTTCACTAGCTATTGTTCATTTTTGATATATTGGTTTTGAAAAAAATAGTCTCCTTTATTACAGTAAGAATGTGAATATGATTGAGATGAATCATCATTACATTTTGTGTAGGACTAGTGAATCAATCATGCTTTTAGATTTTGAACTATCATCATATCAATAGTGTATCCATTAATCTACTAGGCAACTCTCAAAAATATCTGCTACAGGAAAAAACCCCAATTGCATTACAAGGAATATTTACTGTGATAAAAATATTAAAGTAATTATTTGTGTATGTTTTGAGTTGAAAGATTTAATTGAAATAAAATTGAATTGAGGTCAATAAAAAGTCAAAATTGGATGCATTGATTAATAATACTACTTTGGTAAAACAGGAGGGAGAAAGATAGGACTGAGAGTGAAGAGGAGAGGGAGGGAGAAGGCGATGAAGATGAAGAAGAGAGGAGAGAAAACGAGAGGTTTGAAGAGGAGGAGAAAAGGATAGCAGAGGAAGTGGAACGCCAGGTTAGTCAATAGTACCTGGTAGCTTATACTGTCTAAAAAAATATTTGTGTTGTTGGCAATCAAAATCCTTATTGGTTGATATTATATAGTATAGGTCGTGTATTTGAAACATTTATGTTGATTGAATAAAAGATGATCTCTTGATTATTGGTTCTGAATGTAAAACTCTATTTCCATGTACAAATGCTCCATTTTTCAGTGAGACATTGGTCTAGATTCACCACAGGGTTGTTATCTTATCTTACTAATATTATAAATGTGAAAGTTTGTGTGTTTGTTTGTTTAAAGTCCAATCACGCATAAACCACTGGACGGATTGGGCTGAAATTTGACATGATGATAGGTCACATTCCCAATTAACATATAGGCATATTCTTATCTCAAAAATCCTTTCGGGCTCCGCCCCAGTGGCTCTGCAGTTCCCCATGTTAACCTTATGTTTTTTTTTTTTTTTTTTATCACAATTTTATTTACAATCTGTTCATTTTTAGAACATTTAGCAAATACAATAACAAATTTTAATAAAATTTGTTAACCTTATGTGAATTCATATTTAAAGGGAATTAAAGAATTTAGTCAGCTGTTTCAACTAAAGAGGTTGATTCTATGATATGCAAAAGTATTAAAAAGTTATAAGATTTACCAACAGGGTGCAGCACTATAATGTTTTTGCATTTATGTAAACAGCTAATTTGAACTAAGCAGCAACAAAAAACTGTGATACGCAATGAGAACTGTCGAAGTAGGATTGTTTACAGTTATGTTTATGTTTTTAATGTCATGAATAATTTAAGATTTTTTGAGAATTTTTATTAATTTAGAACATTATGGCTATGGTAGATGTGTAATGCCATAGTATACCGTCAATTTAAAGAAGCAAATTTTATCAAACTTTGTCCTCCCCCCTTGCAAACGCAAAGCTTGAGTATAACTGCAATAAGCATTTTACACTCATATGCCAACCCCGTACGAAGGACAGGTACTCTGCTAGTACAAAATATGGTCAAAGTTTTGGATTGGCCACTCTTATTTGGGTGGTAGCCAAACATTTCAATTTTCACTGGAATGACTCATTATTGTTTGAGGGATGTGTTTCTAAGTGGCATCTCATCCTATCATTTGTCTTTGTGTTTGAATTCTCAAAAATATTATTTGATTTAAAATTTGGAACATCCGATATGATCACAGCAAAATCCTAAACGTCTCTGCTATCACAGCGATATAAACGTTCCCTTCCGACCATGCAAAATTGTGAACACCACAAGCAACATCCTCAATTTTTTACCGCCCATCTTTGCAGATTCTTTCTAAAAATAAAAGTTTGGCTCGGCTCAAACCGCTGGCCAACAGCCTGAATCGATCCTTCGGGCCAACTGTTTGCTCGACTGAACCCGAAAATATCGGGGACCCGTAGACCCCTACTGCAGAAGCCTGTATCTGCTTTCTAAATTGTAAAGGGACAAATACTGACTCCTGTGTAGGCTGTAAATGTAGCAATGTATATGACTGTTACAGGAGGCTGTAGTGAGGAGGATACTAGAGGAGTCTACAAGTCAGCTAGAGTCAGAGTGGAGTGATGACGAGGGTGCCGTGTCAGAGCCTCTTCTGGCTGACAGAGACAGTACAGGCTACACGACAGACGACCCTGCACTGGAGAACATCTCTATGATACATGTGTGACTGTTACAGGAGGCTGTAGTGAGGAGGATACTAGAGGAGTCTACAAGTCAGCTAGAGTCAGAGTGGAGTGATGATGAGGGTGCCGTGTCAGAGCCTCTACTGGCTGACAGAGACAGTACAGGCTACACCACAGACGACCCTGCACTGGAGAACATCTCTATGATACACGAGGCTGGTCTGACTGACGCTGAAGGTAATCATGTTCCATGACATTTCTGCATTACAAATAATTTAATTCTCTGCATTATTTATGGAAAGTGTTTAGTCGCGGTACATTAAAAACGACTTCGTTTACTCTGGGGTGTCGTTTTACGTTGTATTCATTTCACATCCAATGTTGCCTGGGCTGTACACACAAGTGTGACACAACCGGGAGACCTATTCACGTCTAGAATCAGTAGCCTGCAGGTCGCTCTGCTTTGCGACTGGTTATATCTGTTCAGGGGGTCAACTATAGATTTGTGTTGCTTTGAGGCAATGTTCTATATGTTGTAACGCTAGAGATGTAAACATCAGAAGACTATGAGACGCCCCCGCCATGGCATCTCCGTTTGTTGTTTTTCGTTGACATAGAAATTGTCTTGTGACAGCTGAGATGTTAAGTGAAGACGCTGCACATGATGCAAATGATTTTGATTCAAGTGTACTGAAATTAGCTGTAATTGCTGAATCAATTTTTAAGTCAGTTACTCGTTTGCGTGAGGCCTTTTTGTATTCTTTTCAAGAATAATCAGACACATAAGCAAACTAAAAATCAAACATTTATTCTGCTTGCAAAGAAGAAGGAGTAACAACTGCATCAACAGCTTGTTGAAAAACTACATCCACATTTTGGTCGCCAATCCTAGCGGCTGTAGTGTAGCGGCCGTAATTGTCAGGGGTACAATCTTGAGGTCATCCCAATTCACTGAAGCAAGCATCTTTGTCGCATCTGTGGGCACTGGGCCTTGGATTAAAAAATTCAACCTAACATCAAATGAGTTTATTTAACTGAGATAAAATAATATCAATACCCTTTATACAACTACAACTAAAGCAATAACTTCTACAATCTACTGATCCTTCTGACATTTCAGACACAAACTGATATTACAATGCTCTTTTGCATGAGAGTAAAGTAGCCTGAGATTCCAATTTTCCCTTGTCACATAAGCTACTATTTGCTGGTCTTTATGACAGAAAGGCTTGTCTGTGCTATTAATTTCAGCAACTAGTAGCTTACCCAGTCTAATTGATTCTTAGCAAATTAGTAAAAGTGTATGTAAACTAAAAATGTATTTTAATCTATAAATCTTTTGTTTTAATTTTAATTTTTTGTAACAATTAAAATCCCACAGGCAAGTGAATTTATATGACAAAATAAGATACCATATTTTAAACTTATAATTTAAGTGAAGGTAATTGATTGTTCATAAGCCTGTGTCTTTGCCTAGGTCAAGAGCATGTGGCTCCCTACAACGGGACTCCGTATGTTTAGCTACAATCGCTTTATTGTTTTATGGTTTTATCTGTGATAATGTAGGTGCAACTAATTACTGTACTTTTTCACAAGCTACTTGTAGATAATAATTGTAATTCAGGCTTGTAGATTCTGTATAAATAATGTTCATAATTTCAATTCAAAGTAAAGTTTTTTGGGGAGATTAAAATACTATTGATCATAAGTTCTGAGTTTGTTTCAAATCCAAATTTTTTTAAATCTTTTCATAAAGCCAAATGTATCTCTCTAACCCAAGTTAGCACTGCTTCTTCTGAACTTTAGACTAGGTGACCCACCTGGTAATGCTCGTAGTTATTGTAGTAATCGTTTACTATGAATTAATCATATATATATATATTACATACAAGGGTTGTACATGAAATCTCCACCGATCTCCTTTCGCAACTAACCAAACAAGTTTAGATCTGAGACCAAAGCTGTGTTTCTTACTTTATCCATTAATTTTCCTTGTTCATTCCCCTAGGACCATTAGTCTGGTCATAGTATTAAAAATCGTTGTGAAAGAAAATTATCATTCTGTGGATGGATTTATGTTGGAAGTCAATCCCTAAAGAATCCCTCTGGGAGACCTTAATCAAGGAAAACCCCTTGAAGTAAGATATAAAATTAAACTACAAACTATCCTCCCAGCCAAGGCAAATAATCTGAAGCACATTACTCCAGCAATTACTTGTTGAAAGCAGAAAGCTACTTCACTACCCATTACCCAAAGCTTTACACTGAACCAAATTAAAGTTATTTTTATAAAAGTTATCAAATACACTTGTAATTCACTATTTGTTGCACATACATCATCATAGGTTTTCTATTCGTAATGACATTTAGTGTGGGGAAATGATAACAATTGTTGCTATCTTGTTATCAGTTTTAGCATGTGTTGCTATTAGTCGATAACATAGACATTACTTATCTAGATGTTAGAGCAATGTAAAGCTGACATTTTAAAATTTGCATTGTTCATAATTTGTTTTAAAAACTAGCTGCTGTAAGATAATGCATTCAAAGTTTATTTGACATTCCGTTGAATTCTGAGTAGACTAATTTGCTGTGCTTTGGAAAATGTTGCTGTATGTTGGTTTGCAGTTACATCTTGAACGTAATAGTGAAATTAAAATTCTGTTTAATATCTTAGAGTTGAATTGCAATTGATTCAAAGACATTCCCAACAGTATACATGTCTTATGACTACTGTACATACAGACACATGTGATTATTCTCAAAAGATCCATATTATTCACCAATAAACTAAACTTATTATTTGTCGGAATAAAGAAAATTAAACATAAAATAATATAATTGATTGAGTATTTGGCAAAGAAACTTATTTGTAAGTCCTAGCTAAATGAGGTGAATTGATATTTAGCTAATAGCTATCAAACAATGTGTGTACAGTTATAACTAATCAATTTTCTTAAGTTAATTCTCTTTGGATTCAAAGTCCTGGAGAAACCCCGTCAAAATTATACAAATAATTATATAACTCTTTGCGTTTTTTAATCTCTCATTCAAATACCAGCGTGCAGTTCACAACGAGTTGATGAAGGTATTTACTCAGGGGAGGTATAGAAGAGGCTACGATGACAGCTGAGGGCTTCTTATTAGCTGAGGGAACGCCATTACCGTAACAAAACTTTCGATAGACATCGGGCCTCGGTGGTGTAATGGTTAGCGTGCCGGGCTGATATACTGTAGGTCCCGGGTTCGAATCCCGCTGGTTTTTTTCTGCAGGAAGTTAACTTTTTGTCCACGATTTTTTTTATTATCAGCAAGTTTGGTTGGTTTGGTTTGGTTATTACAGTTTAATTTTATAATTAAGTCATTATAAAATTTTAATTGAGCAATTTCTAGTTTTATTTAATAAATAGAATTATTTTTCCGACTACTAAACTCTTGTTATATTATTTCTTTATCAGCAAGTTTGGTTAGTTCGGTTAGGTTATGATAGTTTAATTTTATAATTAAAAAATAGTAAAATTGAATTTGAGGCATTTATAATTTTATTTTATGAGCAGAACTATTTTTGCGATTAGTAAACCTTCATTGCCAAAATGCTCTCTACTACAGCGCTGTTCACGGAGGAATTTTGAACTAAATGCCTCATTTGTACCTCCCCTAAGTCAGACCCGTTGATGAATCAGATCCTTACCAACAGTGTCTGAAGTCACTTAGTGCACTGTGTGTATTGTACGTACAGTATTCCTCCAGTGACGAGTGAGAAAGACTTGCATGGATGTCGAGTTTAAAGTTTAGTTTTGTAGAGACTCAAAGAAACAAAACCTCGCCTTCTTTTTCTTGGGGTTCAGTTTTAAATTACTTCTACATCTCTAAACCTCTATAAGTAGAATTTAATCAAGAATTATCTTTGATAGTCTAACTATGTCTACGCTACTCAAAATTCAAAGGAACTGCAAACAGTATAGCCTAACTCTGAACTTCAAATTAGTCCATCAAAGAGTTTATTTATTTTTATTTTTTTTTACTTGAGAAATGTCAAATGTGATATTTAAAGGTATTGTTTTTGTCGCAATTTAAATATTGTGTCTCAATCTTAATCTCTATGTATTGTCACAGGGGCACTGAGTGATGTCAACTCAGCGTTTGAAGGTGGTTGCCACGACGACGGAGACAACACCTCCCTCTCGTCTAGAGCATCGTCCCGAGTGTTTGACTCTGACGCAGTGATGAGTGTGGACTCCCTGAGTGCTCTGTTTGACCCGGAGTACGACACGTGTTACGGCGACGACTTGCGCTACTACGGCCGAGGCACGACGCCGGACATCACCAACCTCGCTAACATACGCAGCGTTAGTGAGAGCATCACGCGCAACTTTGGCCAGCCGCGCAGCGAGACTGACAGTGACATCTAGTGTGGTGCTAGGTAACAAACAGTTCAACTGAATAAATTAAGATTTTATTCTTCCAGTATGATAAGGGTAAAAATTTGTATACAATTTTACAAACCTCCATTTTTCTTACTCATTACAAAAGTTAATTTGTGCTTAATGTGTTCTTGAAATATTCAACATAGGCTAGTCAATTTCCTTTTGGTTTTTAAACAGATTTCCTAATTGAATTTGTTTGTAATATTTTTTTTATCTTCATTTTTAATGTTAAATGATCACTTTACCGAATGGTATTTCTGTATACTACAGATCCTTAAAAAGGATAAATTTTACCATTCACACTCTAAAATGTTAACATGTTTTTGAAACGTTATCTAATGGTATCTCATGGAGCCGCGCTCAATTTAATTTTGTAATGTAGCTTGTGGCTAATAAGCAGGTAGTTTAAGCAGAGACAATGCAACTGAAAATTTAATATTTCTATAGAAATTAAAATTTGTTTGCCAACAGGTACAAAACAGGTTGAGAATAGTGGTCTTTGGTTGGTGTTATTTGTTGAAGGACTGTTCTTTGAATACTTTAACAGACGATGTTCATCCATTTTATTTTTACACTAAATTATCATAATAACTTGATTACCGATTTTTCCAACTAAATAACAATCCTTGTACAGGCGAATGAAGTGATAAATGAAACCCTTGTTTTCAATAGTAGTTGATTGTTGATTTGATTAACATACTTGTATGATTTTTAGTTGTTTGAATTTTAGTATATTTCTTTTGATACTTTGAACTATGGATACTTCTTTCTAAATTTAGTTGTTTACAATTAAGTTCAATCCATCCTATTACACCATCCAAGGTCCACAAACTTTTTAAGGGTGCAGTATTTTTCATATTTTATTTATTTATTTTTTATTTACTATTAGTTTTGACTGGCTTAGAATCATTAGTCTTTATTTAACGTCTAATATTATATTTTACCACCGGTGAAACTCTCTGTGCTACTTTGGTACTATTAGGAGTATTAACTTTATTTATAAATGTAATTTTTATTTCCTAAAGTTTTTTCTTCCCACTTTAAGTTGTATTTTTATTTTTACAAAAAGTGTGCAGTAACAAATAGTTAAGTCCAAAATGTTTGTTTAAATTTTTAAACATGTCTATTAATTATCTTTTAAGAGAGTCAACTTTATATTTGCATTAAAATTAATCCCAAACTACTGATTTGTATAGCTTTAGGCTAAGTAAGTGTGAAAGTTTTTTTTTTGTAATAGCCACATTTGCCTCAAAATACCTTTTTTTTATTGAAGTTCTCGAACCTTTAAAAGTTCATAACTTCAAACACTGAATTCAAATATTTTTTTTATTGAATTGAAGTAGGTACTATACGAAAAACAATTTGTCCCAGGTGACCACATAATATTATTATATTTATTAGTAACAATACCCTTGAGCATAATTTTTTTTGTATAACGATACTTAATACTGTTGTATACTATTATTTTCGTACTTATGACTTTGTTGTGATACTTTTTTTATTTTGAACCTCTTTTTGTCCCTGTAAACCTAGTGTTTTGAGTATATATACAGATAATTTATACATTGTGTGTTATTCGTTCAATAATGTACTGATGTTAAAATCGAACGATATAAACCGATATTGTTAAATAATGTAACATAGTTCTTTCTCTTTATTATACATTGTTATATATGAATTTAAATATTATCGCTATAAAAAGTGTTAACCTTCAGCTTAAAATATTGTTAATTTTTATAAATTTATAAACAATCTTGATTTGTATATAATACATGTGGAGTTTTAGCTGATAGGTTCTACTTTGATTTTTTTTCTTTGATACATCCATTGTTGTCTTAAAGTCAGTATTTTTTTTGCATCACATTTACTCATAGTTTTTTTTTACTGCTTACATAATTTATTGTCCTCGTAGATTATAATTGTGTTGTGATTTATTTATAGTAGATGTTTATTTATTGGCGTTGTTTGTGATTTATGTTTTCTATATGAACTATTTCGAATTTTGATATTATATTTATAGATTTAGAAAAAGAGTTATTAAAACTTAAATGAAACGTCACTATAACATCCTTAGAATTGTTCTTTGTGCTTTAGATTTAAGATGAAATATAATTTAATGCTTTCGTGATGACTGCCTTTAGCCTTATTTTCGGCCTACAAAGTGTTTACGGAATTTTGTACTTCAACATCTACCAAAACATCCTAACAGTTGGTTTTGATTTATTCCTAGTCATAATATGGTGTCATATTATTGGATTTAGGTGCTTTTTGTCGACAACCCATTTTTGTTTGGTAAATTTCATAATAATAACAGCTGTAATAGTTCATAAAATTACAACGTTAACAAAATCATTACTTTTATATTTTGGAATCTGTGCAACACCAATGTCTAATTAATAATGTTGCTGTATTCAATTGCCATACTGTTATTATTTTATACACAGAATGTCTAGCCATGTAGTTTACCTGAATATAAACTGTGTAGGTTTATGTTTAAAATATACTAGCTACAGTATAACGCTTAGTAGGCCTATATAACTTAACTAAAACTTAGTTGTTTGGTTGGATTACATATAGTTGAAAAATATCATATTGTTAACACTTTTACTAAAACCCTGATATTCCATGACATTGTGAATTTATGCAACTTGTGCTGGCGATACTAAAAAATAAAAAATTAACCATTTATTTGTCTTTGGGTTGTACTTGCCTATGAGATTTAAGTCAATGTTTAATCAAAGTTGAAACAGACTTAAAAACAATTATTTATAATTTTTATAAATAGATTGCACTTCTTTTTCAAAATTCTTTAATCTTTTACTCTAATAATTTAAAAAGTGCTATGTTTTTACATCCCCAAAATCTTTTGAGCTGTATAAAAAATTTTAATGTTTTGAAAACATGAAATGTTTTCATTATTTAATGGGACTTGCAGGCCAACATTATCATGGTCCATCGGGTTACAGTAAAAGTGTCAACTCGGGGCTCAAACTGTTGAGTTGTTATTTCTACTTAAAATATTGGTTATTGAATTTGAAGATTGGCAAAATCTCTTTGTATGTCGTAGTTTACTTTTTGAAACGTGAGCAATGATGTGAAAGCTCAACCGTTGTATAGACCCTCGCCCTTTTTGTACAGATTTCTCAAAAGCACTCTAGTATTTAACCTAAGTTGCCTAACTAGTGTAACACCGAAAGGTAACTTACAGATTTGTATAAAGGATGTGATGTATTTGATACGTTTGGTAGCGTAAAGCCTTTTGTTGTTCTGTAAATATCCGTAGCCATGCAAACAAGTGTATGTCATGTACAAAATACTTGCAATAAAGTGATATTGACCTTATGTTAACTTTTTTTGTACAAAAAATCCATTTAGCTATAAAAATAAGTAAAAAATTATCAAAATTCCTTTTTTTAAGGTGCATCTCAGAATGAATACCATCTTGTCAAAAAGGTTCAAATATCTGATACTAGGCAATCCAATGTTGTTGCAAACACACATAGTTAACATTGTCTCACTCTAATTACTTTGTCTCACTCCATATTTGCAACGTGAAGGCACGAAAGTGACCAATTCGCTCATCAGTGAGCCAATGTTAACATTGTCTCACCCTAATTACTTTGTCTCACTCCTGATTTGCAACATGAAGGCACGTTTCTTTACCAATTTGTTTTATGTTAACTGTAGGAAAAATATAATGTGCAACTCGAGTGCAAAGTGCAATCGCCTCACTAGAGAAACCATTCCTCACTCGCCTACAGCTCGTGAGAAAGGATTTCTCTCGAGTGATTCAATTGCTCACTTTGCTCACTAGTTGCACAAATAACTATTAACTAGTCAGGAAATGACGTTCAAAAGGTTTGACAGTCAATTTAAAACATGCTCCGTTTGCTGTGACAGATGGATAAACTTGTAAAATGAAGTTCTAAAAACTAGTTGGCTGCAGCTCAGTGCACGGGTGTTAAGCGTTGTTGACGGACAATCATACTATCCGAGCCAACATTGTTCTCCTTACATTGCCAACAATTCACATTGCAATCAGTGTCTGGTAGAGTGCCTTAGGTACTCTCAATTACGCTGAGTATGATTACTATCATCATTATCAAATCCGGTTGTGCTCAATATTCTGGATTATCTAACCTACAATTAAGCTGGACAAGTATAATAAACTTTTGACGTGAGGGTTACTTTTGTAAAAATATTTGTTGCAACTCTCATATTGGTAACGGTGGCAGGCTCCTTAAAGTATTCCTTGTTCAAGAATAGGTTGTTTTCATCCAGCCATGTAAAAATGTCTCTTGTTTGAATTTGTTTAACTGAAATTACCTTAACTGCTTGGAAAAATAGGAACTTACTCTGAAAAAAACACTAGGAAGGTTACTACTCTCCTTAGTCATACTAAGTAGGTGTGTACCAAAATGTGGGCACTATTTCGCACTATTTTTTGGGGCAATACTTTGTGTGTGGAGAAATATTCCTCTCAGTTTGCATTGTGCAATCCGTTGTACGCTAGTGGGCTCTGTCGTTTGTCTGCTACACCCTTATATGTTTTACATTTTTATATGTGTGTAATTTTTCTTGTTCTATATCGTAGGAGTTAATTTGATAAATTTTGACATATATCGGTGGATACGTCCTCCGTGTATATCGTTAGAAACGTCCTCCGTGTTTATCGGTGGAAAAGTCCTCCGTGTTTGTGTTTATCGGTGGAAACGTCTTTGGTGTTTATCGGTGACCGGTGTATTATATTAATAATATCACTTCCTGCTGAGTTAATGTATTTATGTTTTTTGTTACTGAATAAGTATTCTGTATTGATATTTTATTAGCAGTTAAAGTTTTAATCTCTTGGACTTACTAAGTGAGTAATGTGATACAGTTCTTTATTATAATACATCAAATCATAATCTAACAATGAAATAAGTTAATCCCTCTATTATAGAAACATTAACATATGAGAGGAGAAATACATTTTATTTGCATAAAGAGTTGAGAAAGCCAGAAATGTCAAGTGTAGAATGTAGAGGGAAGGAATGTTGCAGTTTTAAATATAGTGAAGCAGCTACTAGCTAAATCTAGTCAGAGATGAATACCCAAACAACTGTCGGCTCTGCCAACAAGAGTGTTGTTTTTGCATGCAACTAGCTTTACTCTCAAACTAAACCTTTACATGTGAGTAGGAATACCTTTACATATAGTTTACATTTAGATTGGATACATAACAGGCTGGGCTTATAAAGATAAGCATTATCAAATAGAGAAACTTGATAAGGTAAACTTGATTATGGCCCTGTTTGTGACTTATGTTTCTAAAATGAAATTAAATGTAATAATCATCAAGTAAATTTTCCTATTGTGAAGTAGCATGGTACAATGTCTGAGACCACTGTATTTATTAAGGACAACAAAAACCAAAACACAGTTTGTTTAAACAGTTGTACATATACGTGTCCATATAGGAGTCATAATGTTCAAATTCGGATGAAAATAGGATCAAGTAAACCAAGATATATTTGATTTAGTTTGTAAATCATCTGATGGTGGGGTGGGGGTTGATTTTTTGTTTCCGAAAATCTGTTTTGTCGACTTTGACGACTTATTACCCAAATATTTTTTATTTATTGATTCTTAAAGAATTATGACTAGGTTGAAACCTCTATAAATAGTCCTGCATGCTCCTTTTGTGGTCTGGTGTGTGTTATAAGAATTTGATACGTTGTATGGTGTTTTTCTCTATAACGTAGTAATGTATTCATAGTTATGAAAAATATTAGTATTAGGTCTTGATTTTCATCAAGTGAAATAGTTATAGATTGGCGTAGAGTGGTTGGCTTCTGTGATACCTAGCTGCAACTTGAAGAAAGTAAAACAACAATTAGTTCATCAAGAAATAAACAAGGATTTAGTTATATTTACTCATCAGCTTAGCTACCTTGGTTTTAAGCCAGGCTAGAAACATCAGCATGACTATTTTAAAATGTCTCCAATGTTCCATCCTTGAGTACAAGAAGTTCTGAATCAGTTAGATAATATTCAAAATGATAACCTCAATCTCCTTTTAGCTTGTTGGTGTGAAGTGATGTAAATAACAGATGTAGACAATGAGAAGACCTTAGTCCGAGGTTGACACAAATAGTTGTTGTTTAGTCTACCCACTCTTGAATCTTTCCCTCATGTTTGTGTGAAAACTATTGCTCACCATCACAGCAAGCGCTGACACATTCCAAATATTTCATCCTATATTTCACACCCTCGGCTTATGAAATGAGATTTTGCAGACTCAAGATCATGTTCAAGTTTAAGAAGTTGAAATGATCAATAACATGCAAAAAATGACATTACACCCAATGTTGACTATTTTCAGACCGAGGTGTATGAACAATATTTTCAACAACACTTTAAATAAATTCTAAGTTTCAAATTGAAATTATTGTAAACTTCAATCTTGGAATAAAACAACTGTGTCTAAGAAACAACAAAAGAGTCAATCAATTGTTTTAAATTTTTGTGAATTTTTTCCATGAGGAATAAGAGCAGACTATAGGTCTCAAGGTAATTCCTGGACCTAGGGCCAATTTAGTTTTTTTATTTTTTACCAGAGGGTAGAAACACCATCCATTCCAATTCATATACAGAGTGTCCCAGACTATCGGCCCCGGCTTCCATAGGTCCAATATCAAAGTAAATAGAAACCTGATTGCAACTGAATACAAATTTTTTAGCTAATTTTAAGGGCTATAAAGTAGTAGTAATAAAACCAATATTGCCATTTGAAACTTTTTGAAACTTTAAAAAGTTTGAAAACACTAACACAAGTAAAAAAATAGAAAAAGGGTTGAAACCAGATATTTTTTGAAAGCTCAATTAGCAATTAAAGTGTTGTCAAAATTTCAACTCCCCACAAAATTTCACTCTTTGCAGTGAAAAATAGTTCAAAGGTCTTTTTTTCGTAGGTTTTTGAACACCCTGTAAATAGTGATAAGAATAATTTAAACCTTTTCCCCACTAAAATACTCAGGGCTCAAAGACCTTTAAAATGTTGTATAACATGACCCTCCTTAAGATTTTAAAATTTCCCCCAAACCACCCCCACCCCCCTAAATCTGTCCTTTGGGGTGTTTTTTTGGGTTTAAAACTAGTTTTGATATTTTACTGAGTTCTTTGGGGTCAAAATAGGGGGTTCAAGTTGCAACCAGGTTTCTATTTGATTTCATATTGGATCTAGACGCTGGGCAGGTGGTCTGGGACACCCTGTATATTTTTAAAATAAATATAAATTAAAACTGATAAATTTAAGGAAAAATTTTACTGAGAAGCCAATCAGGAAAATGGAAATTCGCTTAGTCTTTAGGTTTACTGCATCAGGGGGTATTTAGGAGTTATTCACTAATCAATGACAACAATTAAAAAATAACATTGAATCCTAAGATTATATATATTGTTATAGTTGAGGGTAACTAAAATATTAACAGCTGATCTTTGACATTTTGAAAACCCCTAAGACCATTCTTAGAGTGGTTGAACAGGGATTATCACTATTTACTATTACCATTATCAGTACCTTTGGTAGTTTAATTTGTTATTAAATAGCTTATTCAGCATCCACCAAAAATATCTACCTTGAAAATCAGCAAAAATAACATCTTTGGACATCGAAACCAATTAATTGACATTTTAATTCTTGTTTACAATTTGAAGATGCCAATAAGAAGGCAATGACTCTTACATAAGTTGATAACACTTTAAAGTGGTCAGGGATCAGTCATGTTATCTTGTTATTTACACAACAAAGCATAGCCTGGGCACTTGATGATGTAATCGCTCTAACACATGGTTGTCAGCTGTTCCACTTGATGTTTACTGATCTGGAACAGAGACCAGCTGTTCTGCACCTGACTGATAGTGATGCAGACCCCACTCCAGAGATAGCTTATAACCCCTCTAATTATTGATAACACTTTGAGGAAGTTCAGTTCATACATTGCTTCATTTATTGCAATAAAAGAAACCCAAATTTTTTAATTTACCCTCTTGTTAGCTGGTATACTCTCGTCCTATTATTTCCTTTGTGTAAAAAACATCTTTCAAATGTTAATATTTTGGACTCCAAATATAATAGTTTTTAGATGTTTAATCTGTCCTATTATAAAATTGAGGTGAATTGGGTATGGGAATTGGTGTTTGTCATAATATGTCTGTCTGGGCAGCTGTCATGACTTAAATACTAAACAGATACTAAATACAGTCAAAATTTAGCACAAAGATGGTCTATATATCTATAGGAATGTCTTCTTGATGTGACTTCTCTTTTTTGAATCCATCATCCACAAACCCAATACATG